ACTCTTTTGTGCCTCTGGTGTTGGTGGGTTGGGATGCGCTGGGGTTTCGGATGTACAGAGGGGAGGGTTTGGGGGGTAATGGCTGGGGTCTGGGATCACCTCTTGTGTTTCTCTGCTTAACAGAGGCAGAAAACCTCCTACCTCCAGTTCCACAAGCCCAGAACACAGCCCCTTGATGGTGCTCACTGCTGCTGTCAGTAGGTTTCAGAGTGAACAGGTTCATGCAGGCGGTGGGGTGGGAATGTGCCACCCTGGGGTCCTCCCCAAGAGCTTTAAGGGGCTGGGCTGAGCTCGGGGGGGGGGCCTGCAATGGATTTGGGTTTCAGGAGGCACATGAGAGGATGAGGCTGTGTAGGGTAATGGCCTGAATCAGTGGGATCCCAGGCCCTGTCCCCAGCACTAGAACAAAGGACCCCATGGAGTACTGGGATTACTGGAGGATAAATGCTGCGAGGCTGAACATGGGAATGAGCAGTGGTGGAAATCCCTGAGGATGAACACCGGCATTAGCCATGGTGCAAACACCGCTCCCAAGGATATGTGCTGGGATCATCTCTGGTGCAAAGTCCTCAAGGATGAGCATTGGGTTTAACCACAGGGAAAACCCCCAAGGATGATGTGCCCTGCAAAATTCCCGAGGATGAGCACTGGGATTACCGCAGTGGAGCCCCACAAGGATGATCACCGGTGCAGCAAACACCTTGTACCCTCCAGCACAACCCTTGGTGCCCCCAACAGGACCCTGCTGCTGCCCTGCACCGCAGCAATGGACGTGTTTCCCCTCCAGTTCACCCAGCATTCCCCTGGGATAAGGCTGTGTGCTGGGAAACTTCACAAAACTCCCTGGGGCCTGTGGGTGCAGGATGTGGTTTGGCAGCAGCACAGTCCGGTGCTCGCAGTGCTGTGGATCTTGGCGGCCATCCATCCATCCATCCATCCATCCATCCATCCATCCATCCATCCATCCGTCACACTGCAGCTCCGGCTGAGGTTTATCCCTTGTGTACGGGGTGCTTGGTGGGCTCTGGGATTTACAAGGAGCGATGGAGCTTGCCTGTATCCATCAGGGTCCTTGCCCAAGGGCCTGGGGCACGTCCCATGGTGTGACTCAGAGTGGAAGTGAAAGAGCAGCGCAGGGAAATCCCTGCACATGGAGGGGCCAGCGCCGGCGCCTGCTGCTCTTGAAGGATTTGCTCTCTGCTCTGCACAGGGCCGTGTCGCTGCCGTCATTGCCACGCCAGTATCATCATCATGGTGCCACTGCCATCATCACTGTGCCACTGCAGCCGTCATTCATCACCATGCCACTGCTGTCATTGCAGTGCCGCCACCATCATCATGATGCCATTCCCATCACCAACACTGTGCCACCACCTTCATCACTGTGCCACCACGGTCAGTGCCATGTGTTCTTCCCATCGTCCATCACCATGCCAGTACCATCACCTCTGCACCACCACAGTCATCATCTGTACCATCACCTCTGCACCATCACCCTGCCACGGCTGTCATTGCTGTGCCACCACTCTCATGCCTTTGCCAGCAGGAGCCTGGGCACTGTCCGCATCCCCTGCGAAGGGCGGTTGGCTCCAGCTCCCTCCTGTGCCTTATGGGTGGTGGCAGCATTTGGGGACCTGGCAGTGCTTGGCTGAGTGGTGGTGCCAGCATCCTGCCAGTGCCGGTCAGACGTGGAGCTGCTGCTCTCAGACCTGTGCTGCGGCCCTCCCGGATGTGTGCACTGTGGCAGGGTGATTTCACTCTCGTTCTTGGAGAGCTGCCCGCCTGCCTCTGCACCGAGCAGAGAACGCTGTCCCGCATCTGCTGTGTCCCCTGTGCAGCATCCAGGCCGTGCTCCTTGCAGCAGCGCCTCAGAGCATCACGGCAGGAGCTTTCCCAGCCCGTGTGAGTGGGCGCCAAGGAGTTCTGCTTCCCAAAAAAAGCATCGATCCGACGTCTCCTTGGAGAGATGCACAGGAGCCGCGATGCTCAGCAGGTTTCCCACACCGGGAAGAGGCTGCGGAGGGAGGATGCCGGAAGGAGCCCGGTGCCCACGGCTCTGGGGCCAGCGCGGGTAGCAGGGAGCGCGGTGGGGCAGGAGCTGCGGTGAGAGCCGCTCGAGCGGAAACGCAGCGGCTCCTGTGCGCCTGCAACGCCCCGGCGCAGCTGTGACCTTGGCCTCACCTTCAGCTCGTGCTCCCGGCGCGGGATCCTTCCTGGAGTCATCAGGTGCTGGCAAACCCGGCTTTGACCCGGGCACAGTGCCCGGTGCATGGGGCTGTGCCGGCATTCCCTGTGCCGTGCTGGTGCTCCCCGTGACGGGGGTGCAGTGGGGTGCCCTTCCCCAGTAGGATGCTCGGGGGAGGGAGCAGGAGGGGGGTTCATCCTGGGGGCGTTTTCATCCATCTCCCACTTTTCCCCGTGTCCCCTGGCACTGGCCGGGATGGGGCTTCCTGATTCTAAACTCTGGAAGAATTCCTTGCTAAGAGCAAAGATGCAGATCCCTGGGGGTTAAGGAGGTGCCAAGAGCTCCTCCATCCCCAACCGATCAGTGTCCCCATCGGTGGCTCAATGTCCCCAGCAGTGCCTGGCTCCTGGGGAAGAGGGGGCAGCAGGATCTGGTGCCCTGTGAGCTGGAGATCAGCGGTGTCACGTCCCAGGATGGCCCAGGAGTCAGGACCAGGACTGTGCAGCGTTGGTACGGTGCGGCTGTGTTCTGGGGTGCTGCTTCATGGGGTATCGTGGCCCTGGGTGATTTTAGGGGTGCTCAACCTCGTGCTGGGGTTTTTTTTGTAGTGATAGGGAGGAATGGGTTTAAACTTAACCAGGGGAGATTTAGGTTAGATGTAAGGGAGGGATTCCTTACTGTGAGGGTGGTGAGGGGCTGAAACAGGCTGCTCAAGGAAGTTTTGAATGCTCCATCCCTGGCAGTGTTGAAGGCCAGGTTGGATGGGGCTCGGAGCAAGCTGGTTTAGTGTAAGGTGTCCCTGCCCATGGCAGGGGTTTGGAGCTGGCTGATCTTAACCAAATCCAAACCATTCTATGATGCTCATGGGCATAGGGGCTGAGCTGGGGCAACACCATGAGCATCCCCTCCTGAGCATCCCAAGCTGGCAGCGAGGAGCACCCAGCCCCGTGGTGCTGCTGCTGTGGCACCTTTCTTGCTGAGCAGCAGCCCGTGGGTGCTGGGTGAGCACGCGGTGTGTTGAGTGTGCAGTTTTGCTTACCAAGAAATCCCTTTCTGGGTACCAGAGCCGGGCATCTTGTGGTACAGGGGGGGGGGGGGGGGCAGGCACACCGTGCTTGTGGTAGGCACTTCTCCGAAGCCAGACTGCTTTTTCGGGTGCCATTATCTCTCTGCTGCATCATTTCCTTCTCCCCTTCCTGCTCCCCATCCGCATCATCCCCGGGGAGGGACGCTGAGGGCTTCGGCGAACTCCCTGTTCCTGGAAATTCCCCGCTTCCGAGGAAAGCAGGAAGCCGATCCCAGCGCCGCGGTCGGGATGCGTGCCAAGGCAACGCTGCAAGCCTGGGGACGTGCGGGGTGTCACAACCCTGAGGGGTGGGGAAGCAGCCAGGATGGGCAGCCCCCTTTGGAGTTGACACAGGGCATGGTGGTTATCCAAGGATGCAGGAAGATGGAAGTCCTTTGGGATGAAGGATTGGTGCTACCGCAGCATCTCACGGCATCCTCAGCCCCATTGGCGACAGTGATTGCAGCTGCAATCACTGTCGCCAATGGGGCTGAGGATGCCGTGAGATGCTGCGGTAGCACCAAACCCTGGTGCATGAGCGACTTCTAAGAACTTTCTTTTCACTGCTGATAAGGCCTGATCCTTCTCGTGCTGCGTTTCCGGCCCCAAAGTACACCGAGTGCTCAGTTGAGAGCGTGGAGGGAGGGAGGAGAGATGGGGGATGGACATGCTACTGGGAGTAGCACAAGCTTGGAGCAGGATTGGGGCACTTTGGTTGGCAAATGCTGTTGGGCATCCTCATAGCATCCCTGACTGGTGTGGGTTGGAAGGGACCTTAAAGCCCATCCAGCTCATCCAGGGACACCTTCCATTGGAACAGGTTGCTCCAAGCCCCTGTGTCCAACCTGGCCTTGAGCACTGCCAGGGATGGGGCAGCCACAGCTTCTCTGGGCACCCTGTGCCAGCGCCTCAGCACCCTCACAGGGAAGAGCTTCTGCCTAAGAGCTCATCTCAGTCTCCCCTCTGGCAGGTTAAAGCCATTCCCCTTGGCCTGTCCCTACAGGCCCTTGTCCAAAGCCCCTCTCCGGGTTTCCTGCAGCCCCTTCAGGCACTGGAGCTGCTCTGAGGTCTCCCTGGATTCTTCTCTTCTCCAGGCTGGATGAGCATGGTACCCTGTCCTTTTGTCCATCCACAGACTTTAAATGTGGCTTGCGTCTGGCCATAGGGATGAGCACGGAGGGGTTGGGATCCAGGGGTCCCCCAGGGCCTTTGGCACCCCGGATACACCCTGATCCCAGCGGGTGCCACGTGCCGCAGCCTCACTTGCTGGCCCATGGAGCGTGCTGCGCAGGAGGGGAACCGAAAGCTGCCCGGATGGGTATTATTAACCTCTGTGGAAGTCCGTGCTCAGCACTTTGTCATGTGCCTGTGTCAGCAGCCGCTGACCCCTGCGCCCATCTGCAGGGGCTCCCTGCCTGCATCCCAGTGTCCCTCCCCATCGTGGGTACATTCCGTCTCCCTGAACCACGCTGCCATGCTGGAACCCCCTTCTCCCTCCTCTCCTCCACCCCATCCCTTTGCTGCGGGTACCAGGATGGGTCCCGCTCTGTGCAGGCTGTCCCAGCAGTGCCATATGGGGTATTTCCTTGCTGGTGGGGTATTTCCCAGCAGAGCCGGGTACTTCCTTGCTGCCTGCTGTGCTCCGGGTGGCTCCTGGCAGGCTCAGCCCTGTCCCCGCAGTGCAGTGGGATGTTTGGGGGTGGTTCACAGAGCTGGGGCTCAGCTCATCCATCCCATTACCCTCCATAGGGCTCCAAGCCGAAGCTGCACGCTGCCTGCTCTGCCGTGCAGGAGGTGCGGAGGTGCACGCGCCTCGAGATGCCCGATAACCTGCACACCTTCGTCCTCAAGGTAAGGACCAGATGAGGGGCGCAGACCCGATCCCGAGGCTTTTCCCACCCTCCGGAGCTCATGTGGTTGCCAAAGGCTCCCGAGCCAAGTTTCAGTTCCTCTTCCCAGCCTTGGACTGGGGAAGAGTGCATGGGGGGTGCTCTGCACCCACTGGGGTCAGGGCTGGTGCCCAGCATGGGTGGGAGGGATTTGAGTATAGAACCATGGACTGGTTTGGGTTGAAGGGACCTTAAAGCTCCTCCAGCTCCCACCCCTGCCATGGGCAGGGACCCCTTCCACTGGAGCAGCTTGCTCCAAGCCCCTGTGTCCAACCTGGCCTTGAGCACTGCCAGGGATGGGGCAGCCACAGCTTCTCTGGGCACCCTGTGCCAGCGCCTCAGCACCCTCACAGGGAAGAGCTTCTGCCTTATCTCCAACCTGAACTTCCCGTTTCAGTCTGAACCCATCACCCCTTGTCCTACCGCTGCAGTCCCTGATGAAGAGCCCCTCTCCAGCATCCTCACACGTACCTCTCTTTCTGCAGCCCCCTCTCATGTCCCTCTCTGATGTCCCCCAGGTCACCAACGCCACCGACATCCTGTTTGAGGCAGGGGACGAGCAGCAGCTCAGCTCCTGGACGGCCGAGATCCGGGAATGTGCTCGCAGGGGGTAAGCTCCCGATGGATGCCCCCAAGCCTGGGCATGGGGATGACCCTTCCGTGCCCCCCCAGCGCTCAGCCTGGCTTCTCCCATCCCGGCAGGTCTGATGCGGGTGACCCCGAGCTGCTGGCGTGCTGGCACCCCAACCCTGCACCCTCCAGCCCCACCACCAGCACGGACACCCAGGGCCAAGGTGAGCAGCAGGGACACCCTGGGGATGGGGCATCCCTTGCCGGGGGGGGGAGTCTCTGCATCCCACCGGGCTGATGGAGCATCCCCATGTGCAGAGGGGAGGTGGATGGGGACGACGGGCAGGGGGTCCCCGCTTCCCAGGGGCACTCATCCCTATGCCCTAGCAGGGGCGATGCCAGGGGAGGCGGCGGGGCCGAAGATGGAGCAGTTCCTCTCCTCCTGCCCCTGGTTCCATGGGCCCATCTCCCGGGTGAAGGCGGCTCACCTGGTGCAGGTGGGGGGGCTGGAGGGACACGGCGTCTTCCTGGTGCGGCAGAGCGAGACGCGCCGCGGCGAGTACGTGCTCACCTTCAACTTCCAGGGCAGAGCCAAGGTACGGGCGGGAGAGGGGGTGGGATGGGGGTGGGAATCTCGCAGGAGCCCCTTGAGGAGCGTTCCCCCCCCCCCCCAGCATGGTCCATGTCCCATCATCCCGCCCCATGGAGATGCTCTTCCCGTGTGGTCCCTGCCCTGGTGCTTGCAGCGGGCTGGTGAACCCATACCCATCCCTGGTGGGGACAATCCATGCAGTGATACAGGCACTGAGGATGCAGCACATCATGTTAAGGCCATTTGTCCCCCTCCACCCCAGATATCCCTGTGTCCCCCATCATCTCCTCCTGCAATGGTGCTGGTGGAAGGGTAACAGGTCCGTGTTTCCCCCCACAGCACCTGCGGCTGGCACTGACGGAGCGGGGCCAGTGCCGCGTCCAGCACCTCCGCTTCTCCTCCATCGTGGAGATGCTGCAGCACTTCCATCGCTACCCCATCCCGCTGGAGTGCGGGACAGCCTGCGACGTCCGGCTGTCCAGCTACGTCGTCGTCCTGCCCCAGCCCCAAGGTACATGGGGACGGAGGGATGGGGATGTTCCATGGGGTGCCGGAGTGGGGCTCTTCATCAGGGACTGATGGGACAAGGGGTGATGGGTTCAAACTGAAACAGGGGAGGTTCAGGCTGGATATAAGGAAGAAGTTCTTTACTGTGAGGGTGCTGAGGCGCTGGAACACGTTATCCAAAGAAGTGGTAAATGTCCAATCCCTGGCAGTGTTCAAGGCCAGGTTGGACCCAGGGGCTTGGAGCAAGCTACTCTAGTGGAAGGTGTCCCTGCCCGTGGCAGGGGTTGGAACTGGATGATCTTAAGGTCCTTTCCAACCCAAACCCTTCCATGGTTCTATGGAGTGCAGGAATGTCCCAACAGGAGGGTCCTTGGGGTGGGTGCTGGTCCCCTGGGGCTGGGCAGCCACCCATGGGATGAGGGGAAGCGGAAGCATCAGGGAAGCAGCACAAAAGGTGACTCCCAAGCTCCCACCTTCCTCTTTTGAGAAAGGAGAAGCTGCCCCAAACCACTGCAGATGGGGGGGGGGGGGGGGGGTGTGTGCACAGGATGCATCCAGCACCACACCCGATACCCGGGAGCAACAGGGCAGGAGCATCCCATTGACCGCCCATCTCTGCCCTTCACCCGCAGCTCCTGGCTCCAGCACCACGGTCCCTCTCCCGCTGCCCGTTCCCAGCTGGAGCCCTGCCTTCAGCCTCAGCCCCACCAGCTCCTCCTGTCCTCACGGCCCCGACGAGCCCCCTCCGGGCCCCCCATCGGAGCAGATCTTCCACGTGGTGCCGCCGCCGTCGGAGCTGGCGCAGAGCCTGCGCCCCGGCAGGGCACCCCCGGCGCCCCGGCCCCGCGATTCGGACTACGAGGTGGAGGCACCGGGCCGGGGCCACGTCCGTGCCGTTGACAACCAGTACACAGCGCTCTGACCGGGGCTGCCACGCGCCGGGATGCGCTTTCGGGTGGAGAAATCCCAGAGCCCTGCTGGGAATCCCATGGAGGGACAGAACGTGCCCCGTTTCTTCCTTCTGGTTAGGGATGAGCATTGTATTTTTGCAAGGAAAGGGGGTAATTTTCACTCCAGTCCGGGTGTGCTCCCTCTCTTCGGCCTGTTAAAGGGCCTCTTAGTTGTATTTTCTGGTTGTTATAATCAAAGCTTTCTTTGTCACTGTTTACACACGCCTCTCGTGCCTGAGTCCCCGCGTGCCGGGCAGTGCGCCGTCGGGCTCAGCGTCCCCCCCGGGGGGCTTGAGTTGCACCCAGTGAATTGGTTTAAGGCAAAGGAGAAAATGAGAGGAGTGGATTGTAATTCATCACCAGTTGCTGCTCCGGTGAAGACGGGTCCCATCCTCCTGCCCCAGCACTTGCTGCTGCCAAAGCCCCCAGCCAAGCCCAGCCTGCTGGAGCTGAGCTCCTGCATCGGGTGAAGGTGATGGTCACGATCAGAGTTAGGGCTTTGGGTTTAGATAAGGCAAAACCCTGGCTTTTCTCACCCTTCTGTCTAACCCAGAGCAGCTGCAGCGACTCCATGCCCCAGCCAGAGGAACACTCACACCATCGGCCTTGCTGATTGAGACGTGAACACTAACTGCTCCATCGTTAATAATGTCACTAGGGGAGAACCAGCGCAGAGACTGATGGCAAACCGCTCCTCCTGGTGATGGAGGTGTTTTACCCCGGTGATAGAGGTGTATCCCAATGATGGAGGTGTTTTATCCTGGTGATAGAGGTGTATCCCAATGATGGAGGTGTTTTATCCTGGTGATAGAGGTGTATCCCAATGATGCAGGTGTTTTACCCCGGTGATAGAGGTGTATCCCAATGATGCAGGTGTTTTATCCCAGTGTTTGAGGCATTTTATTCCCATGATGGAACCATTTTAGGCACAAATCTAAAGTGTGTTTCCCCAAAAACCATTTTGTTCCTCTCCAGCACTCACCCTGCTCTCATCTGCCTTTATTTCCCCCTTAAATCACTGCACAGCAGAGATTTGTTGGTATTTAAAGCTATGCACCGGCCTCTTGCAGGCGAGGTGGGGTCCCTATGGTGCGCACTTCCCTGCCTGGAGGAAGAGCATCTCCCTGGCAGCCCCTGATAGCAGAAGAGCTCTGTTTGCTTGCACAGGTTGCACACCAAGCAAGACACAGGCGCTGCCGTGACTCCAATGGGAATCACCGTGCGTTAATCCCCGCGGCTCCACGTGCCCTATCCCTGATGAAGGCACCAGCACGGGAGAGCATCACCGGAGCCGGGAGCGTGGCCACGTCCCAGCCTCCGCTGCTCTTCCAGGCTTTACCTGCTGGTGCTGTGCCAAGAGGAACCGCTGCTTGGAAGCTGCTGTTATATTAAGAATGAGGAAGGGCTGGAGCTGTTGTGACACGCGGGAGGGGATGTTTCAACTTCCAGGTTTCCCAGGGATTTTGGATGCAAGAATCGCCTTCAAATCTCCTCACAGGAAAGCCTCTTTGTTTTTACCTTCCTTGGCTTTGCCACGGAAGCAGGATCCCTCCCGCAGGCGCATTCCCAGGTTGGGATTCATTGGAGAGCAAGGAAACAAGAAGGAAAAGCTTCTTGGGGCTGAGTTTAGGGAGCTCTGCAGAACCCCAGCCTCCAGGTTGGGAGGCAAAGCCCAAGGAACTGAGCTGCGCTCAGGGCCGGGAGCTGAAGGGCAAGTTCTGGGCTGGGAAGGGCAGAGCTGGTGCAGGCAGGAGGATGGATGGGGCAGAGTAAATCCGGGTCTATCAGTAGTAACAGAGGGCTGGGAGGAACAGGGCATCGTCAGCTGTGGGACTTGCACCTTGTGCTTCCCCATCTCCTGCCCCTGCTCTTTCCCGGCTGTGTTGGTGCATTTGGAGCAGGCAAAGCCTTCCTCTGTTTAAACCAACTCAAAAATGGGTGCAAGGCGATGAACCCTGCATTCTGGTGCAGAGCAGCGCAGCCGTCACCCGCTCTCAGCTGAAACCAGAGCCTGAGGAGCCAATTGCACCTCCAGCGCTGCCAAACCCGGAGAGCCACCCGAGGAACAAAGCCGGCCCTGTCCTCAGCTGGAACTCCTCATCCGCATCCGCATCCCGTTCCCCTCCCTGCACCGGCACAAAGGCTGCAGGAGCACAGAGCCAGGGCTGGGCTGTGCCAGGGAAGTCAGCGCCCTGCACTGCGCATAAAGACCCCGCCACGGTCCTGCATCTCCAGGGATGGAGAGGAAGGTGTCAGCTCCTTGCCGTGCTTGGTGCAGGGCTCCCGGAGCACGCACTGGGATGACACTTGCACGTTGCTGCGGTCGAAGAGCTGCTCTTCAGGCAGCTGCATTCAAAGGGGGCCTTTCCCCAATAGACGAGGTGCTCTCACCCCAATCACCCTCCGCTCAGAGCATCTGCAAGGAAGAATGGGCTGGGCAAAGGGAATGCTATTCACAGCCGGCACAGCCCTTGCCAAGAGAAATCAGATGCTGCTGCTGCTGCTGGGATGGGTTGTTTTGGCACGCCGGGGCTTATTGTTCCGGTGCCAACAACGAAACGTGCACTTGCATGAGGTATTTGTAACCTGCAGTTTAACTGCAAGGGGTTTCTCTGTGGTTCCAATGGCAATTGCTGTGCTTGATGAGCAGAAGACACGTTGGGTTCCTGGGTTCGGTGTCACCCCGTCAGCCACATCCAGGGCTGTGCACTCCTGTTCTCCGCACCGGTGAGCAATGGGAAAGGCGCTCTGGTGATTTAATAGAGTTATTTCCACCTCAAACCTCCCCAGTGAGGTACCCAAAGGCCGTCCAGCCACCACCTCCCCACCATAGACCTCTGCTGTGGCACAGTTCAGACCTCCTGCAGTCAGATCCCAGCCACGCTGGGATCCAAGGGGATTTGGGGGCTATTTCCCCAGCTCCTGGAGGAGTTTGAAATCCCAGTTCTGGAAAGCATCTGGCCTCTGACCCAGGTTCGAGCCGGCCGTGCAGCCCTACTTCTGCTCCTGCCAGCTACATTAATCCATCCTCTTCATGAGCAGTGGGCATTAAGCCATTCCCTTCCATGGAATGGAAGCCACTTGAAGGCATTTTTATGTCTTTCTAGGGACTTGGGAACAGCCATGGACTCGGCAGGTTTAGCTCCCTGACCCACAGGGGCTTTATGGGCACTTAGGAAGTATCAGCATCGAATTTAAGAGGGGAAGCCAAGGGAAGAGCCCTGCACGGGTGTGCTGCAGGTACGGCCGCTTCCTGGTCCCCCATGGAGGACAAGGAACGTTTCCTAGAGCTGGATGAAAGCCGTTTGTGCCTTGGCCCTGCGATGGGCACGTACAACACGAGTGTGGATCCAGCATAACAAAGCCATGACCCAGCCGGCAGCGACTCCGGGTGCCTTCGGCTGAGCCCTCAGCCCATGGCCACTCACAGCATCCCCGAGGATGTGAGGAGGGGACCCCCTGCTCCAGCCAGCGCTCAGGACAGTTGTGTTTGGTGGTAAAGATGCAAATCGGGCAGCACCTTCGCTCTGTGACAGCAGGGACCTGGCCTAGCACACAGCACAGGACTTGGGTCCAGCCAGAACATCCCTTCAGCTCCCTCTTAACCTTGGGACCGCTTGCAGTTTGCCGGCAGACCAGTGTACTAGCCACATCCCAACCATCCCATTGCGGGTCCTAATGAGTGCCAGGTTCTAAAGGAGTTCGTGAGATAAAGCATTATTTGATCTCTCCCTCCCTCCCTCCCTCATCCCATCGCCAAGGACCAGCACAGGAGCAGGTCACCCAACACTGGCACCACCGTTGCCTCCCCAATCACCTTTACATTCCAGCTATTCTGGGGCAAAGCTTCTAAGAAGAGGTCCATGGTGAGGCCAAAGCTTCTCATTTCTCACTCTGCGGACCCCCCATCACTGCTGCCATCCAACCGGCGCAGTTTGACTCTAACAAGCATAGAAGAACCTTGGAGTCTTGACTAACTTGGAGCTTGCTCAACGGGACCAGACCCAACCTCCAGCAGCAGCTAGCAGAGGCGGGCAGGCCCCGGCGCGTTCTCCATCGCAGCCTTTAGCAGCGTGATTAAAGCTAACAGTTTGGTGGGTGCCAAGTGCATTGATTTGAAAGTTCTTCTTGCATAGCAGGGTTTTCTATATATTGTCTCTGTATGTACTGTACAAGTAACTTATTTCTTGAGTAATGCAATTTTACCGTAATATAAAGAAATCTGCTCTTAATAAACTGTTTCTAGAACGTTGTTTCTCACTTTTTAGCCTCAGTCTCTCGAGGTGCCTGGGTGCTGTGTTTAACAGATGCTGGATGCTGAAGAACTCTCCCTTAGCTATGAAAGGCAAGAGGCAGCCTGTGTGAGGGAGCTGCTCCCTCCTAGGAGCCTCATTCAAGTCTGTGAAGGTCTCATGCCCCCTGCTGCCCACCTGAGCATTAATTCGTTCCACCTCACCGCACTGCTGACACGGAAGGAGCGAGGATGCAGCAGTGTCTATAGCATTCCCCAGCATGTTTTTCACCAAGCCACAACGTGCTGTTAACTGCTGTCCGTGGCAGTTTGTGCAGTTCATTTATCCTGCCTCCAAAGAGCTGCTCTGTCATCACCCAGTTTAACCAGCATCACCTCCCAGTGCCTAAAGGGGCTCCAGGAAACCTGGAGAGGGGCTTTGGACAAGGGCCTGTAGGGGCAGGCCGAGGGGAATGGCTTTAACCTGCCCCAGGGGAGACTGAGATGAGCTCTTAGGCAGAAGCTCTTCCCTGTGAGGGTGCTGAGGCGCTGGCACAGGGTGCCCAGAGAAGCTGTGGCTGCCCCATCCCTGGCAGTGCTCAAGGCCAGGTTGGACACAGGGGCTTGGAGCAAGCTGCTCCAGTGGAAGGGGTCCCTGCCCGTGGCAGGGGTTGGAGCTGGAGGAGCTTTAAGGTCCCTTCCAACCCAAACCAGGCTGGAATTCCATTATCTTTGGGCTCACCAACATAGGATGGAACTGCACACATCAGTGAGAAACACCACAGTGCTTTAGAAGCAGCTGTAATTACTCTGTGCATTACTGCAGGAGGTGGTAAACAGCTCCGTCCTCCAACCCTTTCCACCCCCTTTCCCAGCCATTTTCCTATGGAATGCTTACCCCAATTTCCTCCCTTCTCCAGCAGTAACACTGACCTGTGTAGCTTTCTCATCCTAAGCCCCAAGGCCCAGCTCCGACATCTTCAGTGTAGAGCTGAGGTTTTAGGGACTCCATCCCAGTACAAGAAACCTGCACAGAACCTCAAAACCCTCCATCACCCTGCACGTCAAATATCAAGGGATACGGTGCCATGGGGGGGGGACACGCACAACAGCCAAGCTTACCTGATGCTACCCAAGTCCAGAGGAGGCCACGAGGATGATCAGGGGCTGGAGCACATCCTGTACGAAGACAGGCTGAGAAAGTTGGGGCTGTTCAGCCTGGAGAAGAGAAGCTGAGTGGAGAGCTCAGAGCAGCTTCCAGTATCTGAAGGGGGGCTATAGGGATGCTGGGAAGGGACTCTTCATTAGGGACTGTAGTGATAGGACAAGGGGTAATGGGTTAAAACTGAAACAGGGGAAGTTTAGGTTGGATCTAAGGAGGAAATTCTTTCCTGTGAGGGTGGTGAGGCACTGGAATGGGTTGCCCAGGGAGGTTGTGAATGCTCCATCCCTGGCAGTGTTCAAGACCAGGTTGGATGAAGCCTTGGGTGCCATGGTTTAGTGTGAGGTGTCCCTGCCCATGGCAGGGGGTTGGAACTGGATGATCTTAAGGTCCTTTCCACCCCTAACTATTGTATGATTCTACCTAAACCACTCGCTCCCTTTGGGCTGGAAAGCTGCAGGAGGCGTTAAGGCAAAGCAGTGCTAACACACACGACACGCACGCTGAGGTCAGTTTTTAAAACTTTTTTTATTTTTTAATTTTTTTTTTAAGTTTTTATTTTATATTATCTACAAAGTAAAAGTTTTTCTTAACTTAAAAGTTACATCACTGTCTCACGATAGTGATCCTCTCATCAAACGTGATTTATAAATAATAACTCATCAGTTTGACGATTAGAATGCTGGGGTTTGGTGGTGGTGGGTTGGTGGTTTTTTTTTGTCTCTTTTTCTCTTTTTTTTTTTTACTGAACCTGTTTCAAGTTTAGTGAGAAGTAAAAGGGATCTCCGAGTCTTGATTTTTAGTGAGAATAGCAGCAAGAATCACTCTTGTTACTTCTTTCGCTAGCTGATGAGTTCGTAACTTTGAAGGGTCATTAAAAAATAAATAACTTCCAGTTTTCAGCAAGCAGAGTTGGGGCACTTGCAGGACTCAAAAAGATACAGTGCATGGGATTATGGAATAGCCCACAAGTTCCTACATGCCTCTACTCAGTCCGAATCTCTCCCACTGCAAGATGAACTGTTAGCATTCCTAGTGGATGTTACAAGAAATCAATTTCCTTTTTGTGTTTTGTTTTTTTTTTTGTTTTGTTTTTTTTTTTTGTGATGGTTTGGTTTGTTTTTTTTTTAAACAAAATAAAATGAAATTCTAGGTTTTCTGTGCTTCCAGTTGGCAGAAGCAGTAGAAGGAGGGTATTTGGCCTACAAAAGGTATCCAGCCTTTCAGTTATTCCAGATGAGCCTTACAACTGCTGTTGGTGGTGGGCTTGTACTGTAAAAAAAAAGTTCAAATGTAAATAATAAATTGGCAAGCCACACAACAGTTTGCTATTAAGTTGGTCACAGGACAACAACTGAGCGCAACTTTGTCTCTTTTCCTTTGCTTCCTTTCTGGTTTTGCTCTCCTTTTTGTCTTACATTAGAGAACCAAACAAAACCCTGCATAGCAAGATGTCCTTTGGATGGTTTCGCTTCCCTACCTAACCCCGCAGACAGCAGCTTTGTTCTGCTCACACATCCCCCAAGAAACAAGAGCAAGGTAACTACTTCGCTACAATAGTTTAGAGGCTGTTTGGAAATGAGTAAGAAAGAAACCTAAAGGTAAGGTTAAATTTAAAGCAGAAAGAAGTCATTCAGCACCTCCTCTTCCCCCAAAAAAGTAAAGCTGCAGAACGTTACTCTGAATTAAAGGTTAGACTTCAGCTGTCACTTTATTCAGGCTAACAGCTCTACCCCCAAGCAATGTTTTCACTCGCATCCTCACGGCCGATCCCTTTGCATTTAATAAAAGCTCAGAGCATTACAAACAGGCTACACAGACAGTCCATCCCCCACGGCCAAACCATGGCAAAACCTGGAAGAACTCATCCCACAGCGTCTGCAGTTAGCTTCTCTCTAGCTGGAGTAGAGAAGTCTTTGCTCAATTAGCTGCATCTCGTAACGCTTATCTAGGCTCACATTTGGGTTGGCAATGCACAAACGCAAACGCAGTCTGCCTTCAGCACTCTACCAGGACATCTTTAAGGTTGGTTTTTGTTTGTTGTTCCTTTTTCCCCACATCTGGTTTCTAACAGTTCTTTTCACTACTACGACCTGGCTCAGTTACGGTGCAGGTCTCCCGGGCACACACTCCTCACCTGAAGGGTGCGTCATATAGGGGAAATGTGTTGTTGTCGAGACTGGAATGGGCTGTAGTGCACTTTGAGCGATGGCGGCTTGGGGACCACCAGGTGGCTGTGTCGTCATTAGCATCATTGGAGCATGGGCAGTTGGGTGAGAAGGAACCATTCCTGACTGTACATGAGCCTGAAACAAAGAGCTCTTTAGTATAATGGTCACAAGGAGGCATCACTCCTGGCCACATGACTGTCAAGTTTTTCTCCAGCTGTAGCAGTAAAGCTGGAGATTTACTCCATTTTAACTAGATTAGCGACAGGGATTAAGTCAGAGATCTTAACACAAAAAATAATAACAAAACAACAACAAAAAAAGGGCTTAAATCTTTACTGCTGGCTCCGAGTCACAGTCTTAATTTTAGCCATTTGGACAGTGAGCGCTGGGAGAAAGTGCCAGCATTAAACAGCGGGGTCAAAACCAAAACACACCCAAACAAACAAAACCTCAGCAGCAAATCTTCAACACGTTTCTGTTAGTTAACCTGGATCAAAGCACTTCCTACGCAGAGAATGCGACGGGTACAGACACGAACTTCACACGCGCTGGGAGTCTGGCATCCCTTCCTCATTGCACAACTCCACATTCTTTGGTGGCTCCCTGCCCTGGAAACCACTCTCTCCAGTGACCTGTGCCCACGTTATCGTTCATCGAAGCAGTCCTTCTAAGATGATTTAATCCCTTTATACTGTTAGGGCAGCTTTGTTCTGTTTCCAGTTAAGCTCATCACAGTTAAAGTCCTTGTGTAATCTAAAGCAATCAGAGTTAAGTCTCAGAGGAAAAAAGAGATTACTCTTTAGGATGGCTGATCACCTCCTGGCAAACAAGTTCAGTAACTTGTCAGCTGGCTTCTTTAGCTCAGACTAGGACTCTAGAGGTCATCAAGTTTTTTGGTTTTAAAAGCTAGTAAACACTAGTTTCTTAAAAGCACAAAACATTAAGGAACTCTTACAGCTCTCAGGGGATTTTCTCCTGGGGGTGGGCGGGGGAAGCATTTATTATCTAAGGCTTGCTTTGTCCTTCTACCATATCCCATCAACAGAGCACCACGGGGCAGGAACCGCAGTCTCCCAAGTTTCACATGCCAGTAAAGACAGATAGCAGGGTGGTGGCTACAATTTTATTTCTTCAAGACAAAAAGGGTTACTTGACTCATCACAGACATTCCTCAAACTCTTTATCAGACTTGCGCTGGACTAGTAGCACTCAAGAAGCCTTTAAAGGCAGGAACTGCAATTCAAATCTCACTCTTGCTCTAAAAAAGGCTTAGAAGATAAGGCTGTGAAACAGAAATACCTTTCAGGATCAGCACCATTTTTCCTTTGACAAACATGCTATTATAGCAGCCATCGTTATAAAGCAGCTATTCATATAGCAGCTGCATTCGATACACACATTGGAGGAAAGTGTTCTGCTGTGGCTCAAAACGCTTTGCAAATTGGCAGCTGACAGGACTCTAATGAATTTTAAAGTACTGTTTCTCAAGTGAGATATCTAACAGCTCCAGATTCATCTGTTCACTTAAAGGGACATTCAACCCATCCCCTGTGTTAGCCTGACTGAGATTCCTACCACATGGTAGTTCAGAGTGGTGTTTGGAAGTTGGAAATGAGGCTGCTAAGGAACTATTAAATCCAGTGATTAGTTTCCCCACCATGGAATAATTACATGCATCTAAAATTTCTTAACACAACTGTAGTTGTTCCTTCACTAGAGATGTCTGAGGAAGCCACTTTGTTTGATAAAGTCAGTTAGTTTGGGGTCAATCTCATGGAGGATAGATCGTAGTTTTCATCCTATGAAAACTACAGCAGAAGAGACTGCGTAAGTCAAAAACCCAGGGGGAGGCAGGCATTCCTTTTAGCAGGCATTGCTAAAAATCCTGACTGAACAGACTAAAAGTTGCATCTGATTTGCTTCAGCAAGGTTTGCTTATTAAGTGCTTGGCACACAGAAAGGAAGGCAATGGTCGCATCCGTAGCGCAGGCACGGGCCTGGCCGCGATGTGTACCACTAAGCTGACCTTGAAACCAACATGTTTCATGTTGCAAGGCACAGCACTGAACATGCCACTAACCCAGGAGCTTGCAGCAAAGACCCTTCCCAAGGGTTGCATGCAGGGCACCCCGAGAAGCTCCTACAATCTAGGCATTCACACCAGTGTCATCACACCAGAGCAGAGAAAGAAATCTTGTTCCTGGCAGAAACCATAGCCTGGGAGGACAGGGCAAGAGTAGTCAAGTGTGGACATCCTCCTTATCCTCCCAGAGTAAAGAAGCAGAGATATTAAAAGCCCAACAGAATAAAAAAGCTCAAAACTCAACATCAGTAAAACAATTCCTAAATAACTAGAGGTTCATTGGCTTAATGAAGGGACCAAAGCAAAGACTTGATCAGAATTCTGCAAGGGACGGGACACCTATTAGACTAACCTCCCTAATTACAGTTAGTCATGATATCCCAAACTATTGTTAACCTGTATAAGAAGGCATAAGCCACACACCAAGTACCTGGTCTGAAGAAGAAACTGTGCAGGCAAATTCCCAATTAACTGTCATTCCTTGACAAAGCACACTAAATCCATGAGATTTAGATACAAAGAAAATCTTTGTAAGGCTGCTTTACGCAGAGCTCTTTATTAATCAATCATGTGCTTCCCTTCCCAAAATCCAGGGTTTTTTTTTCAGTGAGTTGACCACAAGGGAGCAGTTTAGAGAAGTGGGTTTCTGATCCTGAAGCAAGGACTGTCGCTAGGTTGCCCAACAAATACCAGGGATCTTCTGCCTAAGCAGGTCGTTTAGAACCACACACAGACATACACGCACACACACACACACACGGAGGCACACACTGTTTTCTCTTTCAGCAAGGATTGTCTTGCAGTCATCTGAACTGAATCTCACCTATCTCCCATTGCAGTGCCTTGCTATTCCCTAGAAATCCTGTGTTACATCCTTTACTGGATGTACCTGTATATATTTGACTACAATGCAGAGCCTAAAACTGCCACCAAAAGCAGCAATTCAGCCTTCCTCCGCTCAAGCTCTCACCTCCAACCTTTCTGTATGCCAGCTCTTCCTGTGCTCATGCAGTGAACCTGAGTAGTGAACTGATCTGACTGAGGAATAGCCTAAAATGGGGGCAGGGGAAGCACACTTCAGGTGAATCATGTCCCCAGTCTGGTTTGCTGCATGGCCAAAGAGTTCTGTGAGCAGAATGGTGGGGCAGGGCAGGGATGGGAGCCGAGTACTGGGAAGAGAGCTCAATTTCTTTCAGTAGCAGTGCCAGCTTAAGATGTCTTCATTAAACTACAGTTGTAGATGCACTGTGTGTTGGAAGCTGAGGTCCAAATCTCTTGTAAAATTCTAAATAAAAGGCAATGTACAGACAGAAAACCTAAATAACACAACAGGTAGTCTGTGCTGAGAGGTGACAGAATGGAAATCACTTCAGCAGGCCCGACTGTCCTAACTTTTGTGGCATTAAGACATTTAGTCTTGAAGGTTGTTAAACTGTGTTTACCTGGGGGACATGGGCCATGTGTGGCGGATTGGTATATGCAGGTTGAACATGGGAGGGATGAATGGTGAAGACTGTTTGTTGTGCTGTAGGAAAACTATTTTGTGGAGACTGCGTATTGGAGCCTGGCGTCATGGAAGGTGGGGTTGGAGCTAGACCTGCGTGGTAAATTGCCGACTGCTGCTGTGGGTTTGCCAGGTGGAGTGCCTGAGCAGCCTGGTGCTGATGATGCTGCAAAGAAAGACAGAAGATGGTTTAGCTGATGCTCCAGAAGCGAGACACATCTGTTCTGTTAACTACAGTAAGAAAGGTCTGCACAACCGCTCTCAAAAGTGGCAAAAGGGTCACCACATCTATGGGCATGTGGAAACTCATCTCAAATCCAAAAGGCTCACTTTCTCCTTGCACTAGGAAATCATGTAAGCACAAATCTGGGAAACAGAACCTACACTGCCAGGTAAAACCAAGGAGAACCTGCCACCACGGAGCTGGGTGTACTTCAGATTTGCACTCAGCAGCCCAAAGTCACTACCAGTAGGTAACTCAGGCATGCAGCACTATCACAAGGACTGTTTCGTTTTCAGCTGCTTGTCTTTGACAAAATACAAGCAAACAATTCTTAGCATTGATCTGCTGTTTCCCATTGTAACTCCACTCGTATTAAAGCTCTGACAGAACTCTGATCCCTCCTTAATGGTTAACACAGAAACAAGCTATGCCTCAGCCCCTGCGAACAGGGAGAAATGGATGCTTGGACTCTACGATGTTAGTCCTTACTAAGGAAAAAGGACTTCCATGAGTTTCCCTGCTGGCTTATCTAAGAAAACTACATTATAAGATAATCACCTTGCCACTGCAAGCAGAGAAAGATTACATTATACAGCTCTATTTCCATCTTTCAGAAAATAGAGGGGAATCTAGACAAGTCCCCCATGAGATCTGTCACAGGCAGTTTGTTTCCTACCATTTCTCCTCTCAAATAAATCAATATATCAATGCCAAGCATCAGATGCAATACCTTCCAGCAGAGCATGTCAAACACAATGCAAAAACATTCACTCCCTCAATTACCTGCACGGGGCTAGGAGCAGGGTGGCTTCCAGCATGTTGGCTTTGCTGCTGGCCAGTTGGTGTGGCAGAAGGCTGAGGATGCGGAGGATGCGGATGCAGGGTAGCATTAGGGTGGGCATACTGCTGAGCAAGTGAGCCAGTGGAAACTAGGATGAAAGAGAAAAACATTTAGCAACAGATACATGACATGCATCTCATCAAGCTACCATCTGCACTTGAAGGTTGCACTACAGCTCAAACTATAAATACTGTAAATATATTCCCTCCCCCTTCTATAAAAAGTATTTATCTTGCAAATAGCTGAGTTCTTACCTTTTGTGTAGTTTGGTTTTGCAGGAAAGTCTATAAATAACCATAATTAGACAGTGCATCTTCCCTAGTTTGACAATGTAACAGATACTACACAGAACAAAGCAGCATTTTGGTTTCGTTTAAAATATCAAATTCATCGTTTTCATACAATTTAGTTTTTCCTGAAGCAGACTTTTCAAAGGTCTTACAAGCCATTTTTATTTCCACCATCCAAAAAATTCTTTGGCCTTATACCTGGCTAACCTCACCATGCTACTCTTCTGGAACTTGCTCACAGTACAGTCAGTGTAAAGTATATGCACTGCATGTAGAAGAGCTACAGGGACACACAGTATATACAAGAACAGCTGAGAAAACTGAGGCTGCTTGAGCATCAAAGTTTTGCTGAAGCCAGTATCTTGTACTACAATAACGTATCTTGCCTTTCCCCTCAAGGCCAATTAGAGCCTGGTCTGGATCTTCACATTCTATGAAATCCTTAATTCCTTGAAACAGTAGCAAATAAAAAAGGAATAACACCACAGAACTTTCACACCAGTAAACGCACATCTGTCGCTACAGCCATACCAGTCTCCAACAACAAACTAACATCAACAAGCTCCTCCTTGAAGAGCCCTGCTCTGTTCTGCTTCGAAACGGGCCACGTTAGGTAGTTTAGGGTTTTTTTCTTGAGGGAATCTAAGTATGAAAAGCCATACTGATAGCAAGCCTTCCTTTAAACACAAAACATGCAACCAGACAGCAAGGCCCTAAGGAAATGAAGATGCTTTGCCTGTTCCCCTCATTGCTTTTAGATCTTCTGCACCAACCAGTCCAGTTTGCAACTACACTTCTGCACGTGACAATGCACGCTACCCTCTCCTATGTTACAGCTTGCCAAGACAGAGGCTGGTTTTACTGACAAAACAGTCCAAGCAAACTATCAACCTGCTCCTGCTACTCTTCTTTATTTCTTTTTGTAGTTGTGGCTGAATTTAATTACTGCTTACTACTGGGTTACAGCTTATTTAATGGGGTGTGTATTAGACGAGAACTTGATGGCCAATGAAATGCCTGTCTGTTGCATACCTTTAGCAGCAATGGGTTTTCTAGTGGTGTTTCCTTCCCCTAGTAAATAAACTTGAAAAGCAGGGCACAGGGAGAAACCTTGAGTTACGCTGCAGCCATCTGCCTGGTGTATTCACAGCTAGTGAGGTGTGGTTTATCTCCCTTTCACAAGGAACTGGGTGCTGCAGCTCCTGAAGAGTGTCACTGTGCTGGCCTCCAAGTTCATGAATACACACAACTGCCTGACTGCATAGAAAGGATGAAAGGCAAGATGGGTGGAGAAAATGGACAAAGATGGAGCTGCATCTGAAAGCACAATACTGTTCAGCAAAAGCAAGTCTCAAAAAGACAGCAACCCTACTGTGCTCCATTAACCAGCCCTGACACAATACTACCCTGTGCAAATACTTGTTTTCCTCCAGTTTGGTTTGCTATTAAGCATACAAATGCTACTTCTAACAATCAAACTTGCCAGAATACATCCAGACAGCATCTTTTTGCCTAACTGAGATTCCTCTCCCAGGCCATTATGAAAGTCTCTCCTTTAGGAAATAACTGCCTACCACATTTCACTTAATCCCGCCCTGCTGTCTTGAAAGCTCCATTAAGTCTTCACTGAGCAAATGGTCCAACAGTGATGTGCACTGCAGTTTCAGGCTATTAATGCAGATGAACTTCACATATATTTGTATCCCTAAACTCCTATAGTCTGGAGGTGATAGTAACATACATATGCATGAGCATGTAAGTGTACTTAAGCACGAGTGCACATACTCATACACCACGAGCACCTCTGAGAAGTGTTTGAAAACATCTTAGCGTTTTCTATGCATATTGTCAAAACCACCAATATTTTCTTCCACAGCACTTTGTTAAGCTTTCAAATGCAAGAAAAGGCTTTATATATATATATACATATCACTACTAAAACTTATTTTGCAGCAGCATCCCCACCACGCTTCAGTCTGGCGTTCAAACACTGCTCCTTACAATGACGGTGTGAAGATCATCAATGGACACACTGATCATTTTTACAGCATGAAGTTTTTGGTTTCCCAGAGCAGGCAAATTTCTCAACCTCGTTATTATCCACACTCTGCAGAAGGCCAGAAGTTATTACCTCTGCCGAAGTAATAGAAATAAATGCAGAGAGGGATTGACTTGCCTGCCAAAGGGCACTGCTACCAGCAATCTTCCTCAGCTCTCATCCCACTGCCTCAGCCACAGGCATGCCTGACTACAAATTGACTTCGACTCCATTCAAGAGGCTTTAAAATGTATATGAAAATTTAATTCCAAGTTGTAAGACATTCAAGGCTCCCCACATCCTGCCACATTCCTTGTTAAGAGCCACTGAAATAATGCAGTGCTCTCCTCAACCATTCCTGCAATTCATCCTTCACGTCTTCATAGCCGAGAGAATAATAAACTGAGTTACTGTGAAACAGATACATTATACAATAAAACTCCACAAAGAAGAACTTCCCTCTTAAGAAACCACTTAAACCTAGGAATAGTACCCTAAAGAACAGATACAGAAGCAGGGGGAGGATGAAGGTTTTGTCAGAAAGCAGCTCTTCCATAACCTTTTAACATCTTTTATCTATAGCTTCGCACTGGAAATACTGGGTATTTCACACTGAGGCATTTTTATTTCCTTAGCTTCTCCTCTCCCCCATTTTCTCCTTAACAAATTACTCCAATAAACTCTGCAAGTTTGGTTAAAACTACTTCAGATGCTGCTGCAAATCATGTTTTAATAGTAGTATTAAAAGTGCCTTTCAAAAAATGCTATTTGGACACTTATCTAAATCCTGGACTGAGACTGCATACAAATGAAGCAGGGCTCAGGGCGAGTGGCAGCAAGTCTGACATACATGCACGGATCTTTGTTAGCTCAGAAGCAGGGTTCAAACTTCAACTCCAGGGATGTAAAAGGGTTTCCACGTTGAGCTAGTGCAATTAATAGTTCGTGACAAGCCAGTGAGCTCTATGAGACTAGCAAGCCTGTGAAAGAAGCCCTGCAAAACAGCCATGAGAAATTCACCTGCTTAGCTGCAACTAAAGCACTTTCACTGTGACTCATGTCAAGGATTTTCGCCTGTTCATCACACCAGCTCACTACACGTATCAGAGAGCAAACAAGGTAAGACAGGAGGTGAAGAAAAACCACAATAAATCACCAATTATCCAACATTTTCTCCCAATTCTTAGTGCTTTGGACATTTTCCAAATGGCCATCTAGTATCCAAGAAAGTGCTGAGAAAGCTCTAGGAAAGGACAAAACAGCTCTGTGTATCTCCTTGCTGCAAGTAGCCTCAGCTCACTCCAGTACAAACACACTGTTTTTCTCACCCTTTCTGCCTTAAACTCCCTCTCCCCCTAAAATACTCCCTGGGCTAATAATCTGCTTCACTTTAGCATCTTTTTGATCAAGCTGTTTCCTACCATGAACTATTCAACTGCACCAACCTGGCAGGGGTAGATAGTGAAGGAAAGTGACTGGGTAATGAAGTGAGCAGAAACATCAGATGGACTGAATTACTGAATTCAACTCTACAAAAGTGCAACCCATTTCTCTGAGAGGCAAACAAGGAGCAGGCAGCCATCAAACCCACAGAAGGAGCTGAAATCAAAAGAGGTCAGAGCAGCAGAAATCAAGCAGAACTCCCAGCTACGAGGGTAGATGCAAAAAAAAACCAAAACCCATATCCTGTAATTTTGTGCTTGCCCTGGTAGGAATTTCAATGGTGCCAATGCTGGTCATCGTTGGTCATCGTCCAAAGATGCACTGAAGAGCCTATTTTCAAGAACTGACCAGTGAACAAACTTCAAAACTATTGCCAGACCCAGTAAGATGGTGAGGATAACTACATTTAAAAGACCTGAATGGTAGGAAGCAAAGAAATAGCAAATGTTTCTTTCATAACACAAACATTTCAAGAAGTCATTTTACACAGGTAGAGTGGACTCCACTTAAAAGATTACTCATGAAAGGAACGAGCTTAGTAAAGTTATTTCAGTGCACCAAACCAAGAGGCATGAAAACAGGACAGGTCAGCATCCTCCAACACCAGCTCACGTAGAACCAGGGCTGTACAAGAACCACAGGGAGTCTGTTCCAGAAGAGATTTTGGGAGAACAAGTGGTATTTCTCACATCCCTCTTGCATGAGCTAACTCAAAAACCCCCAGGAGAGTGCCTGGCATGGGCTGCATGGACTTGCAGACACACACAGCAACGAGTCTCACTGCAGGACAGGAGCAAGCACGAAAGTACCCTGAAACTGCAAGTCCTCCCTTCCCATGTTTCAGGTGACAGCGACAGCTCATCCTGCAATGACACCCCCAAACCCCAGCTTCCTCAAAGTGCCACGATGAACACCAACAGACAAGGCAGTGGGTATCAGTTAATCTGCCTTTCCCAGCATACGTACGTAACTGATGGCCGTGTTAGCTGTGGCGTACCATGAGCGTGGAGGACATCAGCACCTCTCCCAGTGCTCACACTGATGTAGGAACCACCACGCAGGAGTGCTGGAGCCAGGTAACAGATACTGTTCATCGGCCAAGGAGGAAGCATCTGATGCAAGGAGCCCTCATCTACTCACTCTTGTCACAATAAAGACAAAGTACATTGCTCACAGCTCTCCTTCCAAAGCAACTCTACAGAAAGCTTCCTTCACCTCAGCTGCAACTCAAGTTATTTCCTCCCTGGGGCTCTGAACTTGAGCCACAGCGTTTTAAAGAGATGAGGCACAAGACACTTCTCCTTTTAGGACGATGAATAACTTGTGAAGTTTTAAAAACCCCATTTGAGCCATGAAAGGAAGGGAGTGAGGCAGGTCAGTCACGTTTTAAGGAAAGGCCATCCACATGCAGTGCTCACTTTGGGTTGTGGATGAAAAGGCTGGGTAGTCAAGTCAGATTATTCAACATGCAAAACCAATTTTAAAAGCCAACAAATCAGCCTCCTGTGCTTGTATCAATCTGCTTCACGCCCCTGTCCATTGAAAGGAACCTTCCTGAGTTTTCCACACACTGGTTTGGTGCAAGGAAACTTGCTCCCTCAACACGTCCCATTCCTTTAACATCTGTTCTTTAGAAAGTGCTTTTTCTGTACAATCAAAATTAGTACAAAAAACCCAACTCACTGGCAAAGTAGAAAGAAGGGCCTGTCTCCTTGCTGTATGGTATTTTGGGACATGCTGAATTTGGGAAATAGAAAGGTAAATTAGCCTCTTGCCACGTGCATACTTCCCGTCTTCTGGAAAGGTCAGTGTCAATGCTTTAAGGTTTTCTTTTTTAAGCTTGTAGAACCATGCAGATATTTTTATTTACTTAGGTGCTATCAGAGGTGGATATTTAGTTTTACAAAGGAGTGGAGATGAAACAACACAAGTCTCAAGCAAAACTTCCTTAACTGTGACACTGAGGTCTTCAGTTCTTACGTCACACAAAAATCAACTTTATGTCAATTAATGGTCTATTACAGTCCACTGTAATAAGAAGGTTAAAATGGCATCACACTAAAACAGAAATTGGCCCCCTGCTTTTTCAGCTAGATCACTGTCATTCTTAACAGTTCCAAGACACCTTTGGTGACTGGTTCACTCTTAGTCCCTGGAGAATCCTCTGAGGTTTATATTATATCCACCATTGTACTATCAGGGTAATAGAATTTACTCTACTGCTGAGACAGAAACCAGATAAAAGTTAGAGACAACACCAGACCAGTAAAACATATGCAGAAAGGGAAAGGGGAAGGGAGAATGGGGACAGGAATGAGAGCACAAAAAACAGGGAATGCATCTGTATAAAACCAAGGTCTGGTTTTACCCAAGTTTGGTTTTAAACACAAAAGGTAAGCTTTTCAGAGGACTCCAGTTATCTGAAAACACAGGCAATTCAGCTACACGGTAAAACTAACACAAGGTCATTGTCACAGGAATGAACATATCCACCCTCTGCTGAGACACCCACATTTTCTCCTAACAGCACAAGACAAGTTTGGGTGTTTGTGCAACACAGACCACGGAGTCAAACTGCAAACCATGGCCAGCAGGCTCCAGCCCAAGGACATTGGTATCAGGGAGACCACACAGAGCCGACACTTCTGAGACAGACAATACATTCTGAAACCAACATGCAGTTAGGTAGGGTGAGAACAACAACTCCATGGCCAGGTATGTGAGTATGGCTGTTAAAGGTGTGTGTACTGCTCTGCTTCAGCAGTGCCTGTGTTTCAAGCTCTCCTTGGTAAGGACATCTAAGTGGCTCACGTCTCCAGAAGTTACAAGCTGAAGTGTGTAATTAGACGTGTTTAGCACCTGGCTGGTAGATGGGAAAATAGATGCTTGAATATTGTCCTTCCCAACTGTGTTTTGAGGGGAAAAACCCAATGGTTTATACACTCCTCCATCACAGGTTTAGGTGGGTCTACTGGTGACCACGCTCCTCTGCTTCTCTTGAGCTCTTGTCAACAGCGGGTTGTCAAACAGAAGCAGGACACTGTAACGACTGGCAAGGAAATCCCAGAAGTGCAGAAATATCCCATTAAACAGCATTAGACAAAAAATACTTTTTCTTTAAAGTGGAAGAGTGCTTATCAACAAGTGTAGGTCACAGCATGTGTTTTGGATTCAGCTATCTCTCGCCAGGACAGGAAGGAAAACAAAACCCAAACTCTGGCAGCGAGGGCAGTTCACTCAATGGATCAACAGGCATTTCTCTTCGCTGGCAGGCTGTAACTGCTTGCCACAGACTTGCAACTTGTCCCAAACCATGGGTGGAGATGGGAGTTTCAGGTCTCACCAGAAAACATTTCACACCTTTAAGAATGCTCCATAAGCAGTGCCCCCCAACCCCCAGGTCTCAGTAATGTTGTCCTTGCAGACCTCTTCTACCACACATGCAGGAAAAAAGGGGAACGTTCCAAGAGTCGTCTCAAAGAAAGCACTAGCACCTTGAAGGATAAAGGGGCAGTTATAGCCCACAGAATCCTGGTATCAGTGGGGGCAAAAATGAATTTAACCATAAATAATACATATTTTTAAAATCAAACACCAATTTTAAAGAGCCAAAAGGAAATCTGAGAACTTGTTGGAGCAAGTGCTCCAGAAATCAAAAGCAGTGGTTGTTGCTCCTCAGGAAGTTGTTATTCTCTCAGATTACGTTTAGAAGAGGACCAGAATCAAAGTGCATTGGTATTCTGAGGCCAAACATACTGTGGGCAAACTTAAGATTCCCAAAACACAGAACATAAGTTATGGATACGCTCTTACAGTCACTCAATCAGATGTGAATGATTCCAGCACGTTGTTCTTTAGCAGTGTACTCCACAAGCAGCTTATATTTATCACCTCAGGCATTTCTATGCTTTTCCCAAGAGTTCACATATTGATAAATGGAAGCTGAAGTGCATCTGTTACAGATGGACACATTTGGAGGAAACACAATCCATACAGGCAAGGTCTTCAAGTACTCAGCACATGGAAGACTTGCAAAAGGCTGAATTGAGACAGTGCTGCACTACATCAGAAGTCAGCTCGTGTGTAGCTAACAGTAAACCTTGTAGGTTAAGGGCACATTTGAGCCAATTCATGCTCACCAGGCAATAAACACATCTGCACATGGCAAGAACATACTCTTAAAAGTGTCTCATATGGAGTTCATGATCCAGCTGCGTTGAACGGTTTCAATAACAAGAATTTCAAGCACTTGATCGTTTACTGGGAAGGTTGGAGAACACTTAGAAGAGTCACCAAGTAGCTATTTGAAAGAACACAGGAGGACATGCAACTTCTGTTAAATTAGGTGCTCTTGGAAACGTAGTGTTTAATTACATGGCAGAAAATACCAAAGAATTCGAGTTTGACCCAACTTAGTTGTTTGCACTGGTAGGTAGTCACATACCTACAACAGACAAGCTGCAAAACCAACACAGAAATGAGATCTAACAGTTGTAAATGAGAGTATCAGTGATAAAACTATACAGACATCTACAGATCAAAGCCAACCAAGGGTGCTGGGCTTGTACTTCAATGCTGTAGAACCCACTGGCTACAGAAGAAAAGGATGGTGCACAATGAGAAATTGCTAGGAAGTCACATGCAACCATTCTGAACCGTATCTCAGATTATCTCATGTTTGGTTTTTATTTTCATTAGGATTTGAGAGGAGAGTTTTCACCAATAAAGGTCTGAAAGCCTTTGATCATTCACTCTATTTAATCTAATGAAAAAGAAGATCTGTTTACATGGACACCTCAAGCACAAGAGTAGAAAAGATCAAAGTTACACAATTAGCAAGGACCTGTGAAAGACTTAATCTCTACCAAGTAACTTCCATTTCAGCTTCAGCGCAAATGAGCTGAAATGTTCTTCCTCCAAGTGTCAGAAAAGGTTTCTCTCTCTCAGTTTGGCTTCTCAGCTCTATTACCATCCCACTGCTGAGATCTGACAGGATGTTTTCAGATGGGCAAGACACAGACTTTTTAAAATCAGGATTAATTCCACACTAAACTTCAGATTCTCAGCCTTTGTAAGTTTTCATGACACATCATGGACTTCCATTAAGCAGCAGTGTAAAACTAAGCACTGGAACACATACAATGATGTCTAAAGGTACAGAAAATCTTTTATTAGAATCTAAGTCAATAATATACGTGACCCAATAAAAGGCTTCTTCAGATGCTATAACAAGTATTGAAATGCCATGTTTTCAAGAGACCATCTGCTGTTTTGACATTTTATGACAATTTCCAAGCCTTCTAGCAACCTTGATTCTACCTCTTTCAATAGCATGTTTTGCAGTGAGGTTTTTTCCTCCAAACTGGGCATTGATTTATCATACATTTATAATGCTTTAGAAGTTCTTTCACATTTTACTCTGTAACAAGGTAACCCACATTTTCAGCACTTCACTGTATGTGAAATACGCCCATCTGGTAATGCTGGAGAATAACTGTCAAAGTCAGAGCAATACATGAGCTGTTTCATATATCCTTGACTTACCAAAAAAAAGAAAGGTAAGCAACACATGTTTTATTTTGCTTAAACAGCAGTGTTCATACTGTTAATAATGCTAGTAGTATAAGGACAGCATTTCACTAGTTGTCAGAACTAAAGTCAAGTTTTGAAACTGAGGTCATAGCCTTGCAATAAAACAAGTCCTAATTATAATCAAGAAACAATCAAGGGATGTTGTGTCAAGAGCATCAAGGGAACTTGAACAAACTTCTTTCGGCAGATATTCTTTAGCAGCTCCCAGGTTGAAATTTCATCTTGGTCACTGGCATCCTACTGAAATCAGCATACTTGAGTTTTCATTTTAACCCGGTGGCTCAGTTTTCAATGCTCTCTGCTCATCATCTTATGAAATATAAACCACATCTACTGGTGTAATCTGAATGAAACCCACGTTTGAAGCTTGAGATTAAATACATCCCTGCACAACGTTAAGAACTTAAAAAGTTACATATAACACAAAACGTTTCCTACCATACATAGCATGCGTCTGTTCATGCGCACCATACTGTGTTGCAGAAGAAGATACTAAACCAGGCTGTGCGTGTGTTGGTGGTGCCATCATTCTAGCGTTGCCCTGTATTACAGGGCTATAAACATGAGGATGCTGCAGTCAAGAGAAAGAAGAAAACAGTTAATTGGAGGGCTATTACAAAGAACCTACTGTCATCTGAACAAGTATGTACTTAGTAATAGCAATAGCTTAGCTTTACTAAAATACAGAGCAAACTACAGATTTCATACTAGCACCATTATCCCAGTTGTTCCTAAAAATTAAAGGGTATTTTCTGCAGTGGGCTAGAAAGTACCAAAACCCACTGGCATATCTGACTTTTGCTACTCGAATTATGTACTAAACTTATGCATCTAATTCTGTATTTATCCAATCATGTCTATTTCAAAGCTTTTGAAGTAAGAGCAGTACACCGAACTGCTTTAGAACACCTAACTAGGAGCTGTCCTGGCCTTGACCTGGAAAGAGCTAAAAAGGTAGGATCAGTAATAAATGCCAACTTCTAAACTGACCTTACAGTCTGTTACAGGCTTTGAAGCACACCATGACACCATCAGAACACAGAAACTGCTCTAAGTGACTTCTTATGACTGAAGACAACTTAGGACTGAGCCATTTAATTACTTCTGGTTTGACTTACCACGTAGAGTGAAAGGACTCTTACCTGAGATTGGTAATGTGGCACATGCTGCACAAGAGGCTGATTAGGAAACTGTTGGGGACTATATGCAACATATTGTGTTGAATAAGCAGGTGGCGTAGCTACAATTGGAGGGCCTGCTGCTGAGGCAGGATGCATCATGGTGCTCTGATGATGTTGGTCTTGCCGTTGCTGTGGCATATTTGGTACTACAAAGCAAACAGTGCCTCACATTAGAAACACAGGACAACGAATGACCATCTTCCTGAAGGGTTTTACATTACAATGTCACTGTGACCAAGTGGAACACCCTTGCCTCAGCTTTAACCACATATTAGAGCTCTATGAAAAAGGAACAGCATGAAAAGGAGCTCCTCCAACAAACATCTGATTTTCATCACCGCCTCTGAGCCGTGTATACATGCACAAGCCCAGGCCTGCTCTTTTTGTGAAGGAAGGAACAAAGGTGGAGGGAGAGAAGGACTGTCAAGAATAAGTAGAGAAGAGAAAGGTTATATCAGCATACCTACGTTATTCAAATTTGATCCTGTCCCCTTCAAAAGGCTTAATTCACCCTCTATGGGAACTACTCAGCAACTGTTCCATCAACTGGAAATCTGAGTCTGTTAAAATTGCTTGTGCTTATGGCTGAGGAGAGCAGAATGAAGGTCTCCACACAGCCACAATCTGAGCTATTCACATCTTTTAAGCTCTGTGCTACCCCTCAGGATAGCAGAAAGCAACTTTTAGGTCACAGTCAACACTGAAGGGGACAAATCAACCTACAAGAAGAAAAGGAGTAGGAATAATTAGAGGAAAGAAAGAGTAAGAGAGCAGAGTGCTGTAGTGTGGGACCACCTGGGCTATCCTGGTAAGACAATCAACCAAACCACAGCAGCCAGGCACTGAGCACAAACTAATTCAGCCTACTAAGCAATAGGGCATGAGAGTTCAAGGTGAGCTCCAGCTTGCTGCAGCGAGACTGCAACTAATAACTATGCTAACCCAAGCACCTGTGAACTCCACTGCAGTGCGCAATGTAGACAGAGCCCTTAGAGAGAGGCAAGGAGGGAAATGTTGAAGATGTCAGTAAATTCCCTCAGTGATGACTGTATTTACACTGAAAATCAACAACAGAGAAGAGTAAATACAGGATGGAACTGGGACAGTGTAAAGGCCCTGACCTTCAACCCATGCAGCTCCGTCAGGACTGTGCTGCACACAGGATGGATATCCAAAACTAATGGAACTTGAGAAAGGAATTCAGAACAGGAGAGCAGCCTCATGCAGCAAGTGGGTACCCAGCAACATATCTCTGATTAAAACAATCAGTGTCACCAACCAGAAGATTTCCTGGTCAGACCACAGTGAAGTTAGTGTGGTTTAAAACAGAATTACATTGTGGGGTTTTGTCTTCCCTCCATTCATAAAGGCTACTTGTTTATTTCCACACAGCAGAACTGCTCTTTTAAACAATTTCCTCCTCCAGTGACTGGAGCTGCAGCACTGGAACCTATCATCACAACCCACTGTATAAAACTGCAAGAAAGCATGCACTGTGTAGAATCAGAGCATTATGTGAAATACGACTATCAAAACAAGACCAGCATTTTTCTGCTTCTTCACTGCACTGCCCAGAAGAGAGTGCATCTCAGCACACATGTTCTCCCCTCCACAGCCACAGGTGTCACTTCTTAAAACCATGGCATTGTTAGTCCAGCTGTTCAGTTAGTGTTGCAGAAGGAATGCAAAGGAACAAACTGGAACCAGCAGTAAGCGCCTTCCAGAAGAGCAGCATCACATACTCTTTCTGAAGTATTTCCCTCTTACTCTGAATTTCTCTCTATACTCTGAAGCATGAACTCTTTCTGAAGAAACAGTGATTTTGCTTGTTGACCACAACAACCCCCTCTATTAAAGCACTACTGAGGGCTCTGCTGCAAATCAGTGGAGAAAACTGGTGCAGAAAGGTTCCCTTCACACAAACCCATGATGTTTATGAAATATAGGAAATGATCACCTTACCCTAACATTCCAAGTGAGAGAGACATTTTCCTGTTTGACAAATCAGATTCCAAACTAAGCAACTCCCCATTACTCCAACTTAGCATGTTTTGGCTGAATTAGTTTATCTAGATTTTCCACTTACTTCTCTTTATTAAAAATAGCATTTAAAATAGCAATTGAAAGCAAATTAACACAGATTTGAAAACACATAAACATCTGTAATGTATTCATGCTGCATGCAGACTAAGAACCAAACAGGCAGTATTATTCTCACCTTTACCTGCTCTATATGTCTTGGCTTGGTTCACTGGCATGGGCGTCATGGGAATTGGATACAAAGGCTGAAACAGAAGGAGGTGAAGCTGTGATATGCCTTTAAAAAGTGAATGTGTGTCAGGGTGGGGGCCCCACTCAGCTTTGATGTGTTTTACTCGGTTAGGTTACATGGTTTAGCGAACTCTGTCTAACATAAGGTATTTTCTTGGCTCACCGTGATTAATCTGTGTGTACAAACAACTAAGGGCATATGGTTTGCAACAACCACTTAAGTCATGCTACTACTGCTGCTTCAATGTACTAAACCAGTCTGCTTTATAACAGTTAGATTTGTTATTTTAGTAATCCCTACAATGACCAGAAACCAGTGGGACCCAGCTGGAAGAAACAGTTGCTTAAAATTTAAGAGAGCTTGGAGGAAGGGGAGGAAGTCTAGCTAAAACTTAACAACAATGCAACTGTGCCCGTATTTACAAGAGTATTATAAGCTGTACCATCTCCCTGTTTTAACTTAGAACTCCTAAGTGTCCTCGACTTGCTGACACCCATCTGAGAAGTGTAAGTTTGCATCTTACCTGCACGCCTGGACTCACTGGAACCGGGTACATCATATTTGGTGCAAAACAAACGGGCTGCGTGTACACTGGGGTTGGCTGCTGATGACCCACCATGGAGGGGCTAGGCTGAGCTTGTGGACGAGGGGAGGTTGGTGTAGTAGAAGGTTTCGGCTACAAACAGAGTTCAACAAGGCATAAGATCAGTTTGATTACCCTCCAAGTACAAGTTTTACTTAGAAAGCTCTACTCAAAAGCAACAATAAACAGTATCAAGTAACTTACTTGAGCAAAAGATCGAGGGTTGAACTCTTTTGCATTAGGATTAAGTGTTGATTTTCTAACTTGCCTAAACATAACAAAAAAATGACATTCAGCATTATTCTTCTATAAGCATATCTGTAAAACTCCCTAATGGTTAAAAATTTAGAGATTAAAAAAACTTCATTTCCATCTGAGAGTCAGATTTCTGAGAAGTCAAGCAACACATGGCATGCAAAAAGCCACCCTTGGTGACAGCACTATTACTATACTCATCCATAAGAAAGCTTTCCTGCTGTTGATACTACAGCTCACATGAGCCAGGAAAACATTCAAATAAGCATTTAGATATGAATTAGGCATCAAGAGTTCTACATGCAGCTCTGCCACTGACTCATCAGATGACTTTTAGTAGTCACTTCACCTGCTCTCTTCTCTGTGTAACAGAGTACTAGTATCAGTATATAAACAGTAAGATATTAAACATTCATCACAGCTTTATCCACAAATGGCTAAATGCTAATAACAGATGTGCTTATTCTAAAAGGCATAATTACTCACTCAGAAGTATCTTTCTTCTCCTCTTTATCCTCTTTATCTTGTTTACTTCCAGGCCCAGATGTCTGTACACCTTGTGAAGTTACCTCAGGCCCTCGCTTTTGCTCAGAACTATTACTTATTGAAGGAGAAATACTTGGACTATTAGGTTTGCTACTGCCACCATTAGAGTTAGTATTACTGCCAGTTTCTATGATAGATTCTTTAGGGGTTGATTCTGTCTTTTCTTTAACTACATCTCTCGCTTTTTCACCTTCTCGGGTTTTGTTTAGCAGCTGATCCACTGCATCTGAAGAGGAACTCGACTGTAACTGAAAAGGAAGAACCCCAAGGAATATATTCAGTAAATTGATATGCAAAACTAGGGAGAGACAAACCCAATGCTATCACATACACAGAGTAAACCACAGTCCCACAGGCCTCAATCATCTGGAAATGACCTTTTAAAGCATACATTTCCATCTCTACTAGAAAAGAAATCTATGAAGCAGGATGATGTGTTAAGCCTACACTGTGAAAGAAGCTATTCAGCTACTCAAATGACCTATATGTTGATTAGGGAGTGACAGGAAACCTTAAGAGAAACCTCTGGACTCATCCCCATGTGATTTAACAGTAACACTTGAAAAGCCAACCTGATTTAATAAACCAATATAACCATTTTCAATTTGCCTCAGCAAATCCCTTTACTTAATTTTCAAACAGCTCTTCCACACGGAGTTTAAATGTGATAATTATTTGCACCTAATAATCAAACAGGCTTCAAGTACTGTTTTCAGTGTACAGTCAATATGCACATTCACATGTATTAGGCAATTCTACTAGCAAGAGTCAGCATTGATTTTATAGTATCTAGCATGAATTCTTCTGTTTTCATAAATGAAGCTCAAGTGGTAAAGACCTGTTCTCCTGTTAACACATGCAGTTTATTCAGTTCATTAAAATAGTCTGGATGCACACGAGTTAACATCAGTAAGTTAACACACAGAGAGACTTACCCTAAAGTCATTCTTAAATTTCTTTAAATCATCAATCTGTTTTCTATGTTCTGAAACAATTGGAGATACACCTGCCAAATATAAGACCAACATTGTCCAGGCATTTCTAATACAAGACTGATACACAACACGTATACATTACTGAGTTTGCAAAAACGTTTCACATCTAAAAATGAAAGTGTTATCACTTCATCTGTAACTTGCTGTAATTCCATGAACTACGTGTATGAGCACACAAAAATACACTGCTGAAACCACAGCATTACATAACTGCCATATCTGTAGTTCTAATGCGTTGCACCAAGACAGAAGCCCTGAGGTGCAGGGACTGCAGAACTCAGCTGAACACAAAGCAGCATGCAGCAAAACCCTCAGAACATTAACAGACCAGAGTTTCAGATCATAGCAAGTAAAGGCAAACGCTGAACATGGTCAGGTTTACAGCTGGACTTGATCTTAAAGGTCTTTTTCAACCTAAATGATTTTATGATTCTAATTTCAGCATGAAAAGATGTTTTGGAGAACTAAATGAACAAATGATGCTGCAGAGAGGGACAAATTTAAGGCATAATAGGAAGAAGCACAGCTACAAAACCTATGCTGACCACGATGCTCAGGAGTACAGCTCTAAGCAGAAACACTCATTTAGTCCAGACAGCTAAAAACCAGCTTTGTGAGCAGCAAAAAGAACCACCAGAGGAAAAGAAAGCCCACCATCCACATGAGCATCTCTATACTGTGTTGATAAAATGAGTCAAGAACACCACGTAAAATTGCAGGCCTGCCACTTCACACCTGCATGACCAAGCTCTCGATGTAGAACACCCCAGTCAGACTGCCTCCAAGTCTTCCTCAAAATGCTAACTAAAGCAGTCAGTACAGCAGGTTTAGTGGGTGGAATTCCTATATTACACAAGAATAGTTGAAAGCTTGATACAAACCTTTGTTTTCAGGTTTAGAAAAACTAGGAGAAGTCTCACTTGGCTTTATATTCTCCTTGTTTCCAGTTGCTGAATTTTGCCTCTGGTCTTGAAGCCTAGTATCTTTAGCTAGGAAAGAAATTACCAAAGTTATTCACTTACACACAACTCAAACTAACCAAAGAGAGACAGCAAGATAGAAACAGAACTGAGATTTAACCATTTTAGCTTACAAAAGAAAACACTGGGGTCTGGAGGGTTATCCTCCCTCCTTCCCACTCTACTGCCTTTAAGCTGAAGAAGTCCCTGTCAAACACATCCCTCCCATCATACACAGAGCCTTAACTAGTCTGGGAAATGAACTATAAACTGAGAGTGGACTATTTTCACTAGTCCATTAGACAGTGCTAGAATGATTAGAGTTCTCAGACATCTTGACTGTGCTCTTGAGTCTTTAGATTATTCCCCTTCCTTCTGCTGTGTCCAGAATATTCCTTGAAACCAGCATCCCATGTTTCTTTAAACAGCCAGGAACTCAGTTTGAAGAAAAAATATAATCCTCAATTCAAGTCAAACACCTATAAGCCCATTCTCCTAAAAGAGCAGAAGAAATCAAGCATACAGACTTACCAAAAAGCTTTTCTCCAACCTTAGTTTAAAGCTAGCATCATGACAAAAGGGGAACTTGCTACACAGTGAAATCAAACGCATCAAAAGTTTTCCTATCATTTAGGAAGCAGCTCTGTTCTTGCAGAGGCACATTCTTTGTCAGGGAGTAAGGAACAGGAGCATTTGCAAGCAGCAAGGGTAACTTACCTTCACTGGAAGGGGTAACTGCTCTGTTGGATGCAGGGCTGGCAGGTGTAGGAGAGGCAGCTGGAACAGGCATGGCAACAGATTCAGTGGGAATAGTTCCAGGCTGAGGAGAAGGCAGAGCTGGTCCCATGGGAGTGCTGCTCTGCCTTGGAGACCTAGGCCTGTGTGTTTTAGGGGATAATCTCGGAACTAGAAACAAACAGGGAAAAAACAGTTATAGGATTAAGTTTCCTCATCTGCTCAGCAGTTTGCTTCTTTATAAATCACTAACGACATGCTTTAAAATACTTAGTGAAGCATTATATAGTAATTGAAAACCTGTTTACCTTTCAGGTTCATCTCCTAGTTCCTTACAATGCAGCATTGCAGATAAGTGGTGCAATTAATTCTGCAGACTGTCCCCTAATACACATCACTGTCCTGTAGTGCCACCATGAAACTGCAATATTCTCTGCCCAGCCCCCAACAGCTCACATTAACACAGAAAAGGTGGCCAGGTCTCCACACAAACAGCTGTAAAACGTTTAAAAGGGCTGAAAAAAACCCACATCCATTTTACAGCGTCCTCTTTTGGAGGTTTGCCAGCTGGAAGAAAAACAATATCCTATTGAACGAAGATGGTTTGATGTATGGTTTTGCCCTGTGTAAAGCAGTGAGGGAAGCTGTATATTCTTTGAATGGTAAGTTGTACCTCCTGCTCACCCCACCGTGGCTAGTTACGTGCTTTACATCGCATATTAACATCAAGTGAGCCAGGAGAAAGACAGGTTGTTTTAACAATCCTACTTGCATGTTAATAACATATAAAATGGGGAGGGAAGATGAATCAGACATAATGCCATGACAGAAGAGGTTAAATCTTTTCCACAAGGCAACAGGTCTGAGAGGGTCTAATTCCTCCCTTCTTGCTGAAACATGCATCCCCACTGCCCTCCTCTAGAACTCTAGCACTGCTAACGTGGACCAGCCCTCAATCTGCTGCTCACTTGCCCTTCAATTCAAAGAGAGTGCCCAGCTGCTAACAACTCACTAGAACACAGCCTCAACTACAAAAGCTTGAGACTAGGGCTTGTGTCATGAAGTATTTAAGAAACATGTTAATGGAACCAAAAAAGAAGAGACACTGACTATTATCTGCTGCTACAGCACTGAGACAAACACAGAATAGCCACTTAAAACCTGACCAGTTTTTAAAGGAAAAATACATCCAACTTAACTTGAATATCATTTCATCACCCTTCCAACACCAGCCTTCCTCTATCCAAACACCTCCTCCATTGTAAACCACAACTCAGTTACACTGCCATTAACCAAATTCAGTGATGCAATGGAACACAAAGAACTTTTCCTGTCTCCTTCAATAACTTCCCTGAAAACTGCTTTTTTCAACAACCAATTCCCACATTTTTCCTTCCTTTCATACAGCATCTGACTTACCCTCTCTGCCGTTAGGTCAATACTGCACCTGAAGGACCAACTCACCAACTAGTTTACTAAGCTACCTGGGAACATCCTTGTCCCACATCATCTGAACAGGCTAAGTTAGCAGACCAGTGTTTATTCAGAGGCTGAATTGTCTAGAAACGCAGTATTCTGCTTAGCATTCATACTCCAGAGTGCCCCTGGCAAGCCATCTGCAATAAGCCAAGCTTTACCTACCCCCACTGACAACTGATGACCACGTCCCACCTGAAGGGCTGCCTCGTGCCACTGCAGTAGTAGATGCTTCCCCTGGTGCATTATGAGATACAAATTCTAAGCCACTTGAAATTGTACCCCTACCAGTAGAGACTCTGTGACCTCGAGGGTGCCGTTGTGCCTTAGGAGACATCCGTGGAGGCCCTGAGGAAAAGAAGACAACCCCACACAATAAGTACTTCATGTCCACCACTACGAGTACCCAAACATACTGCTTTTAAAACTGGATTTAAGCTAATAACTCTCAGTATTATAGTCAAGCAATTTACACTGACATCAACTAGAACCAGGGATCCATGAGAGTAAAGAGGCCAAGTCATTGGTCCAGCCAGACTACCAACACTCATCGCCTTGCTCTGACAGCTCAAGTTCATTGACATTTAGAAGCTTTATCAGAATTAGAACAGGTATGCAGGTCCTGGATGTAAAAGATTTGAATCCAAGCATCCAATATTGCTTACTGCCAGACATGCCAAAAAGGTGAGTGGCCCAGTTCCCTCTGGATAAGCACAGCTCCAGGCTATCAAAGGTTTTCCAGAAAAGAACAAATATCCATTGCTTTTGTCAGGTGGTGATACCAACCATATATTTACAGTGCAGTCATCACTGGCTGACCAATGCTCTTGGGGAATTTCAGCAGAGCATCCTGCATTGAGGCTGAACTGCCTGCAGCACGTCGCAATTCATTTACAAGTCAGCAAAATTGCAACCAAACAAGTTATTGTTATCCCCAGGTTCAAGTCATGCATGTTGTAACGCCAGAAGCTAAAGTCAGAAGTGAATACAGTGACTCCGAACAGCTTATACCACTGCCACAGAACAGTTATGCTCAAGTCTAAGCAGCAATACAGTTCCTACAGCCTAAAATACATTTCTCTGTACAAGATGAGACTGAAATGTTGATACTTCAAAGGAAAAACGGTGTATGAACAGAAGACAACGTGGCCGATTACAGTTCACTTTTAATGTAGGTCAATAACAGTGAAAAGTTCAGATAATGGCTTTCTGGTTTTAGATAAAGTTCTAAAAGATCAAGTACCTCTTCTGGTTACATAAATCTTTAAATGACAGCCTCCATTTTAACCATGACTCTCAAGCACACTTCAATGCAATTTATCTACAGGCAAGTCTTTTAAAGAATACACACTTTGTCCAGCAATGCCCTAGTCCATGTTGTGCAGGCTACTTTTTAAGTGCACTTAAAGAAGATTAAATAAACATTTGAGAATGTGCTCCCTTCCTGTACCCTCAGAGGACAAATTTAGCTCCGATACTTCTGCATACAGCTATGGAGACTCATGGGTTAGCCTTTCCCTGCATATTCCTGGCTGCTAATGCAAACAGATCTAAAGTCTTCTACAGATTCACCTACAAAGCAGCTTATCCTATCCCATTCCACAGTGCACTTCTCCAAACATTGGTTTTTAACAAAAGGAAATTCAATGATTTAGTTCAATTTGGAACTGCTTTTTGTGGAACAACTGTATTAAAATATCTGATATGTTATATAAATTCATACTGCTAAGAAGGCCCTTCCAAGTTATCAGGTCCTGCATGTTGCTGTTGGTTAAGTTAAGACACTGAGCAGCGTTTACAAAGCTGAGTTGATTTCATACCAACTTGGGAAATGTCACAGCTTTATTTTGTTTTTGTAAAGCTCTTCAAATAAAAAGGTTAATAGAAATAGTCTGATAAAACTAAAGTTAAACACAAAATATAGGTTAAGTAATGAAGAGGAAAAACAATTTTGTAATTAAACTCACAAAGGAGTTAAACAAAGACAAACAAAAACATGAACAAATCGTGGTATTGTACCTTCTGAAGACATGCGTTTAGGCATAGTAGAGACAGGAGCTGGAGAACCATGAGCAGAGGGGTGAGACGGGGGCCTGGAGGGCCGCGAGGGGGGCCTGGAGGGCGGCCGTGTAGGGGTGGCTGCCCGAGGTGGAAGAGAGTTGGGACCTGACTGGTAGCGAGAAGGTGGGCGAGAGGAAGGAGATGGGCAAGGCGATGGCCAGGGAACACCTGACAGAACAAATGATATGAAGGAAAGTATAAAAACTAAAGAAAAATTATGGGGAAAAAGGTCAACAGAAAAAAAAAAGTAAAATATGACAAAATGATTTTTCATGTTTAACCCTTTGGGGATAGCTCAGTTTAGCTCGGCAACCGAGAAAATCGGTCTCTGCAAGGTTATTTCCTCCACCTCAGGTCAAATTTAACATCTGAATGTCAGAAACTCCCCAAAGGGTTAATTAGGATCTACAAATACTACTAAGGAATAGACAGTAAAGTTTGATCTGTTAGCCTATTATATATATGTTCTACAGTACGCACCACTCTTGACAAGGTCCTTAAATAGCTACTAGAGGTTCTCAAACAGCGGTTCACATATAGTATTGACTCTACAAACTGCTACTTTCAAACCAAATGATGAGCAGTATCAATTCTAGGAACTGTATCTTTACAAAAAGCAGCGGTGTTCAGTGTCTGAATCCTGCCATTAATGCTTTTAGCAGTTATCTGAAGTATTAATGTCGTATTTTAATCTAGGATATAGGGCTCACTGTTTCCAAATCAAAGAGATTTAATTCACAAGCCATTCTGAATATTTTAGGTATACGATGTTCATTCAGCAGACTAATAGTATGACAGAAACCACGACTACTATGAACAAATGTCAAGGTTCGCACTGTTTGGGCAAGACTCAGTTGTTCATCCTTTATACAGCTGACTGTATTTCAAAAGGAAGTCTCACTTACCTTTAGATGGTTCTCAGACTTTCTCTCCAGATAGAGGCACTTGAGTATTCGACATTTATCATTTATTCACAGCCACCTCTTGTAATAGCAGTTTTAACTTTGAAAAAGAATGCCTCTAGGATAGGCTACTGCTGAAATCCATCTCGGCTATGTGGCGTCTGGTTTACAGAACACCAATCCCTGCTATACGGTGACTATGTCTGTTTATAAATATTACCCATGTGTATAGCAGCAAATACTCAAATAGCTATTTGGAGAGAAGGCTTTGATTCCTCTTCCCCTAACACTTCTTTTGATTTATCCTTTTTCATGGGAAAGAGAACTGATCCATGCACCAGAAAGGAAGAAAGATGCCTTGTCGGCTGCCACCTCCCTTTCACTAGGCGTCAGCATTGCAGCATTGCTACTCCTCCACGTTGAGCTCAGCAGCAGTACTACACAAAGCAGGTTTTAACCTTTAAAACCTGATACTGCACCATCATCTAAGACAAAGGTGACTGAGAGGGAAAACAGTGACATTTCTGCTCTGAAAACCTTCGTACAGCGCAGCCAAATGCGTGTTCCATCACAAATTAAACCCAAATCAAAATCACAACCTCTGAGTTAAATGATGGGTGCTAATCTAGCTTACAAAATACACATCCAAAGACCACACGAGATGCAGTTGCAACATAATTAGGTAATTGACTGCAATTTTATAAAGCACATTTGTTTAGACTTCAGATACTTGCCTCCGTTAACTACTCTTTGATCTGCTCCAGAGTTAGGACTGAATTCTGAAGTATGGGATCCAGACCTTGAAATTGGTGGGCCTGATCCAGACTGGCCCATCCTTGGCGAGTTTTGTCTTCCACTTCCCCAAGACAGGACATCTCTGTTCCTCTGTCCAGGTGGAATGTATTTATTTTCTCTGTAAAAACAGCAAATTTCTATCAGTGTCAAGACAGAACAATGAAAAGGACCTGACCAAGTGCTCTGCTGCCATTTTCTGTCCTTCTCAAATCAAGCTAAAGGAAAATTCTAAATACTATCAGATGTTGACCTAACATTCACCTCCTGAATTGGCTTTTCATACTGACCACAGAGTCCACTTTCTATGAGCTCACAGACACTGAACGCTTTAGTCCTAATGCCTGAAATTCCCCACAACATACCATAACCACTGCCTTTTCCTGTAATTCGGTCTGAATTCACCACAGAGATAATACGGGCCAGGCAGAGGTGCACAAGTTAGTGTGAGTGCCAAAACCAGCACAGGACTGTTTACACAAGGTTCCTAACCTCATGAGCCCTGCTGAAAAAGCAGTTTCAATGAGTAAATGGTACCAAAACATGTACATCACTTAAACTACTATCGACAGTGTATGCAAGTACCTAGTGTTCACACCGTGGCCTTCTCGTTCGTTAGCATTTCTCTGAACAGCAGTGTATTTTTCTTCTTCTGTTCTTTCATCGTTTTCCAAGGCAACCCGAGCTTTGTATTGGGCACTTGATTCGATTTCCTCTGCTAATTGAGTTGCTCTGGCTTCCCGTTTTAAAAACTCTTCTGAATTATCTCTTTCTAATGGCACCCTAAAAGACAACGAAGAGAACCTCTGAAATGCATCCAAAAGCACAAAGGAGCTACAAAAATGACACTGCGTTAATTCTAACCAAGTCAAGAGGAAAGCAAATTGCTTTTAAGCCAGCAGACTTGCTGTCTTTTTTAGTATGTTGATATTCCTGGACTGATTGGATACTTGGTGTGAATTCAGTGCTATGTACCTGCCTGGAGAGCTGAGGTCAGGCTGCAGAGCTCTTCCATAGGACTTGCAAAATCCCCAGTCCCTAAAGCTATGCAAAAGCTCCAAATTTTCACATGGTTGAGTACATTAGTAATAAAAAGCCCCAGCCTGTTGTTTAGATAGGAAGCTGCTCTAAAAGACCACATTTGAATTTCTTTAGCTATTTACACATTCCCAATGGACACAAGAATCCCCAGTCCTACTGAAATTAAACAGTTACATTCCTAATCCTTTGATAATTCCAGCATAGAACTGCAGCTCTTCCTGTTACGAGGAACTGCAGAAAAGATGAATGCAACACATTAGAGCACAGGACCAGAAACCCATGACTCACTTGCCATGTCCTAGGACCTCAAACTTGTTCATTCCACGTATCTCTATTAGGTAATGGCGTGTTGCAAAAAGCATACGTAGGTTCCATAGGAAAGCCACCAAGTATTAAACACAGAAGCAATGAAATACTGAAAGATGACTAGGGATGGACATCACACCCTGCAACTCCTTCTGTCGACCCATGGTTTTGGTTTTTACCTCTTCTAATTTGTGTTTAAGAATCAGGATTTACAAAGCAACTTTGCACTTTTTCCCCAGTTCTAATACTGAGTTCTAGAAGTCATTTCATCCAACCTTACTTCAGAATAAACTACATAAAGAACACAGCTGAGGCTTGGACCACGCTATGCTGGGCATTATAGAATCACTACTGCACGTACTTGGAATAATACAAAAAAAGAACAAAGAACGTAGGTGGAGACACAAGCCAAGTATGTACTAACATATGCAAGATTACTCAAGTGTTGGTGGCACAACCAGGAAAACAAGTGGCTTTGCCAAATCCAAGCCAGCACTCAGCTACTGCATCACACGTTTTTCCTCATACACTTCTGGCCAGTCATCTGCCGGCCTTATCAATGGGAGCTTCAAGGATATGAAATAAACCCCTTACCCTTCAGCGTAAAGCTTTGGCTTGGCTCAAACAAGCTATGCAAGAACATAAAGCAGACAAACCTGAAGTCACAGGCCTTGCTTGCCCTGTATTAAGCTTACACTTAAGAACACCCAATACATCCTCATTAATTTAAAGTGACTGAAACAAATGAAGGGATGTATGGTAGCAGGGATTTCGACCTAACCAAGCAAAAGAACTCCTGATGGAACTTACGGATTTATGTTTTCTAATGGAGAAAAGCTGGTCTGAACCCCAGTGATGAGAGAAGCATGTACAGCAGGTGATGAACATGCTAATGCAGTACACTTGCTAGAACACAAACTTGCACCTTCATGCAGTTTGACAAACTATATGTGCTTAGCTCTAGGAAGGGAAAACAATCAAACAATAAATCCTTCACAATCCTTCAGCTGCACATATACTCATTTAGCTATGCTGCTGCTCATCACATACTTGGGAGAACCAGGAAAAGAGCTTCCCAGTTTAGCAGCCTGAGATGCAGAGCAAGTTGCTTGACAATGGCATTAATTTAAAGCCACCTTTGTGGTTTTAATCTCTTTCCATTAATATCCACAAAGCAGAAAGATGGAAGACTAAAGTTCAAAAGTACAAAAAGTACTTAGAGCAGTGAAGTATATGAAAGAGCAGCTTCTCCAGGATTCAAAAGTAAGCCGATTAAAGCACTTAGATGATCACCCTGTCACAGGTCAATTTTAACAAAATAGTAGAAATAGAACTGTTGAACCAAGACCTGCAGACTAGTAAAAATCAAAATATTCCCTACAATTCCTTGCCATTCAAAACCAAGTTTACACTTTGGGGGTTAAAAGAGTGGGAAAACATTAAAGACATTTCACAATGGCTGCTGAACATCTGCAATTGATTTGTTTTGCAGTTGCAGTTAACATTATAGCTGCAGACTATTGGGAACAGGTCCACGCTGCCGAAGTAGCCAGAGCAGGCTTTATACTACTTCTATATTCAAGTTGTTATTATACTGTAAGTAAAACTTTACTTTAGATCTGGACAAGTCTGCTAAACAAGTCACAGCACACAACCCCCCCCCCAGTCATCAGCAGCATTCCAACATCACCCAGATCAACTGGCTCAGTAAAATCAGGATTGAGTGAAACTGCTCTGTTAGGTTAAACACAAACTATAGATACAGCATCTATGCAAAGTTTCACAATTCGGTATTTTCCACCTTATTCATAAAGGGTTTTGTGAGAAGCAAGTATTATAGCATGCCTAACTTCAGAAAATGTTGCAATAGGAAGGAATTGTGTCCATTTAAGGGAACATATAATGATTACTACATCTAACTATTCACAAAAGGCTGGCAAGGTTTCTTAAGCACTATTCATTCACTGCATTTTCAGTTACTCGATTCCACAGCTTTAGAGAGTATGCAAAATTCTCTTCAGAATACAGTTTGTTGAAGCAGGGAGAACATGAAATACAAATCTAATAACAAAATATTTTGGAACTTACGTATAAGAAGATAAACTGCTGTCATAAGTTGATACTACACCATAATTTTCTTCATTGTAACGAAACATGTCATTGGGATCCCATCCATTAGACTAGAAGAAAATGATGTTTGTTTTTCAAAATGACACTGGAAACACAATTCCCTCAAACTTGAGGGCTGATGGCAGAAACGAAACCTTTTGCCCTTTTCCTTGGGCCTATAAATTCACTGTCCAGATAGCAAAGTTACTAAAGCCACAATTTATTTCAGAGACATTTGTTCACCAGATGCACAGATTTTACCTTCAAAAGCCAGGTTTTTCTTGTTTGTTGTGTGGTTTTGTGTTCCTTTTATGATGGGTTTTAAGTACCATGCTCACTCTGGTACCAGAAGATTACTGGCTAGCAGGGAATACATAGATGAATGCCTTTTCCCCAAGTGCAAACCGATGCTTCTGAACGTTAGAAGTGTCCTCTGCTGTGGCAAACGCTCCAGCTTTTCAAAGGCACTATTAATGCAATTATGTGAGCCACACACCCCACAGGCAGAACACCCCTGTTGATCTGCACAACTTCCCCACTTTAGTAAAATTGCTATTACAGCACTCAAAGCACAATGGTAAACGTTGTGAATGTTTTATAAAAGCACTGACAGTCTTAAGTATTCTAATAAATCTCAGCTGTACAATATGTACACTAAAATTGACAGGATAACTGTTCTACCCAAAGTTAATAAGCGACACAGTAATATGAGCAGATTCTCCTGTAATCAGAAATACCATCCTTTTTCTTTAATATATTGCAGTCTGAATACCTTACTAAGAAGAATGAATGGTTGAGTAAGAGCTGACTGCTATGGTGTATAAGGAAATGTCACTTGAGACCATACTCTTCATCTAACGATTCATAATCTACTGAGATTGTATCTGTGCTTATTAAGTCATGGGTCATACTTCCATCCATTTCCTTGATCTTAGCCCAGAGACAGTTAGCTAAGCACAATTTCACCATAATTTCCAAATGCAGTGATAGTCAGACAGGAATGCTCTGATTAAACGTAAATCACTTCAGTGTACTGCTGAATTTGGAGTCCTTAATCAAAGCTCCTCTTTCAGCCAGTCCATGAGTCAAACACATCCCTTACCACAGCTGCTGCCATTTGTCAATATTTGCCAAAACTGGCATTTGAAATCCAGCTATTCTTATTGAAATGGTAAAAACCTACTGTGGCAGCTGCCAGCAAAGACTGAACATCAACCCATACAATGGAGGCAGCAGTTTCAGTCCAAAGTTCATTACTAGATTAAGATTAAGGAATTGTTGCAACACATGTGCAGAGAATTAGCTGATCTACAGGCTGCCATACATGATAAAAAGCATTACTTACAACATCTGTCTCTAACGCCTCAAGCTCCTCCGTAGCGGTGTTCTCTCCTCCATCCCATGGTTCAAGATCCTTTTCCTTGTGTTCACCATTGACTTTAGCACTGATGGCTGAATCAGTAAAAGCATCTACAATGGAGAGGGGAGGGATGGGGGTGAAATTAATTTGGTTATGTACAGGAAACATACACATTAGTTTCTCTGAGGAACAACCAAATACAGCTGAATCACAAGCACATTAAGTATCATTCACCTTATCTTGTAGTTGCGGTATTCAACAGGACTACGTTAGAAAGGCACTTAATGCTCAGAACAGCTGTGAAAGTACAGGCTCAATTCTAATGTATCAAAAAATAGCAGTAATTACTTTCAGTTATTTCAAGAGGCAGTACACAAACTACATGTATGGTTTTTGGGGAAAAAAAGAACAAAAAAGATGACCTGAGGATCCCCATTCCTCTAGCAAACCCAATCCTCGTAGTAAGCACTTTCCGAACAGCCCAAACTGCACACTAACATACTATGCAAATGTCAAAGAAGCGTGAGTGCAACCCAGTCCCTCTCCCTTAAATGGGTAAATTACAATTTTCTCTTCAAACATCTGAGTTTCTTCTATTTCTACAACTCCTCAGCACACCAGCATGCATGCACACGCTTCTATTCCCTTTGCAGTGTAACTCAATTATCCATCAGCTTGGTGCACCATCCACTGTGAGGTGAACAGAGATGACTTCCTGCCTGCAAGAGCTTTCTCAAGCAGCAGCTTACCCAAATCCCACAGCACGATTCAGAAACTCTCCACCTCTTGTTCACAGAATCCCAGACTGGTTTTGGGTGGAAAAAACCTTAAAGCCTATCCAATTCCAACCCACAGGGATGCACACCTTCCACTAGAGCAGCTTGCTCCAAGCCCCATCCAACCTGGCCTTGAGCACTGCCTGGGATGGAGCAACCACAGCTTCTCTGGGCACCCTGTGCCAGTGCCTCAGCACCCTCATAGTGGTTGTGAATAACGTATGAAAATAAATAGGCAGAAAGGGTCTGCTCCTGTTTAAAAGTATATAAAAAAATAACGATCATGAGCTTTGATTTTCACTTGTTCACGTTTCATTCAAACCAGACTTAGGAAGGAATAACACTAGAATGTTGAAGTGCTGTAAAACACGTACAGAGCCATTCATCAAGGAAGCCAAGCTTTGTATTTGTAAGCAACCAGATCTCAGAGCTGGCACACTTCAAGAGAAGGAACTTTAGAAAACAATATAGGCTTGTTATAAGCTTATAAATAACAAAATAAGCCTAAAATAAGTAAGCCTGCAATCTACAATTTCCTATTATCATGCTACTGCTACAATAAGGAGTAAACATTTCAGACCTTTAGCAAGGATGAGATCAAATCACCAGGCAGTGCCAGATATAGAAGAATGTGGCTTAAATTAACTTTTGGCAAGATACAAAGATCTTACTAGGGAAAATGAACTTTAAAGCCATCATGAAAAGAATTCACAACATATGAAGCCGGCCACTGATGTTCCAGTTTTTAAACCAGCACAGGAGACTGCTGACATAGCTCCTTATTCCTGTTTTACCCAATTTCACAGTGAGGTTCTGCACATATATTGGTATGATCTGTCATTAACGTGAACTGTGCTCAGTCTGTCTAATGACATTCAGCACTGTCTCATGAAATGCTTGCTCAACACAAAGACCAACTATGGGTAAGGGATTAAGCACTGTTAATAAGCTCAGATGGAACAAAATGTTATAGAAGATGTATGAGAAATAAGGAGTTTATTAGCTAAGTATTAATTTCAAACATAGAAGAATCAGTAAAACAAGAAAGGCAAATGGAGGAAGGACACAAGAGGAGGCACAACACTGTTAGGGCTCACATGGAATTCCATAAACCTGCATCCATCACCTTGTGTGATGTGACCTGGGACAGCACCAACACAGCTGGAGGCCAACACTTTTAACTGAGATTGTATTTTAGCTCATCACTAAACGTGATGCCTTTAGCAGGCAAGTTCTGGGGTCACTTGTTAACTGTTCTGAAACAATCACTGTACCATAATACTGCTACCTTTGTGCTGATGCACAACCCCAATCCTTGTGTTTTCAACTGCTCAGAACAGGTAAAAGTCAAGGGTGAGAAGTCACCAACTAACTGCAGGATACTCTATAAACGATTCTGGGAAGTTACACATGCATGTTTTACAGTGCCATAAATGTGCGAGCAAAGACAGTGAGTTTCTGTTACGTATTATGGTAAGAAAAGCAGTACAAAAGGCAAAATGCAGAGACACAGAGTGACTGCCAAGAAAGTTACCTGTTTCTGAAGGAACTACAACAGATATGGAGAGAGAAAAAATTGGAAGACATCAGATATAAATACAGATGGGGTTTTTTCTTTCACATTATATTGCTGAATTCAGGCAATGCTTAGCTATTTCAGTCCCTCTCAGACACGTTTAAACCAATTATACATCTCCCACCCTGCAAAAATCATTTCCATAGTAAAATGTTCCCATCTATTAACAGCCCCACTTTCCTTCACAAACCACCCCCTTCCAAATAGCCTACAGAATTCCAAGATGTACCAACTCAAAAGGAAACATCTCTTGGTTACCTTCACACAACCAGCTTTTAAAATACTCTATATCATGTTTAAATGTCCTCTAAAACTACACAGCAACACAGTGCTACCTCATTCCACAGTTAAGGAGTAACTGAAGAGCGTAATTACCAGGAAGGTAAGGCACATGTATTTGGAAACTCTACATCTACCTTATCAATACCCCATAGCTCACGCTGCCACAACCCAGACAGACCAAGCTGCTGCTGTGCCCAACACCAGTGTTTCCTGTTTGATCTGCTCATGTTGGACACTTTACATCAAACGCAGGTTGGAGGCTGCTTATGTCACTCAGGGAACTGAAATTTGCTTCTACATTACTTCAACGAGAGCACAGGGAGCTCTTCTTCAATGAGATGAGATAAATATGAGTTCGAAGGACTGGTAACAGCACCTGATGGAGATAATCTGTATTTCAGCAGGGTGTTTCCTTAGTTTCTGTTAAATTACTTCAAACTCCACACAAAACTGTGCCATTTTGGATAAAGTGAATAAAATACCAGCTTAATAAGACACATCTACTCAACCCACTAATTTTCTTATTTTAAAAGCCACATAAACATTAAGCAGAGTGCTGTTAAAAATCATAGTGATACTGTGGGGAAAAAACCAACCCAACTCAAAACAAAAGCTCCACTATCTAACAAATGCTACCGATCTGAGTAAGACCTGTAGAGTCAGTGCTGTTTCCCAGCAGAATCCACTGTACCATGGGGCACAGAAGCTCCAGTGCTCTTCATTTCTCTCTCACTTCAGAATGAAAGCCACAAGAAAGACTGCAACAGCAGTTTAACCTCTACGACTCAAAGGAAATCCAGAAATACAAGCTACAAAGGCAGACTTCTAGTCAGACAATATGGTCTCAGGAGCACCCAGACAAAGTTTAAGTGAGGCAGAATGGTACCTCAAGGCACACATCCCTATTTTCCTGGAACGAACAGCCAGGTGGGGACATGGGACACTGAGATGAAAAATACTGGAAGTCAAACAAGGCTTTACCAAAATTCATGAGCAACAGAATTCGGAACATATGGAAAAAACCAAATCCTACAAATAATGGTTTCCAAGATAAAAACACTGCTCTTAACGTTAGTGGCAAAGTAGAAGCTAAACCATGAGTTGCTGCTACAAGTGCTGACTGGCGGAGTAATAACAGACAGGATACTGATTGCACAGGCTCAGCCTCTCCTTTATCTGGTGCCTCCTATCTCTGAGCTGTTGAATGAGCAATTCACAGGACACCTTGACATGGCCAAAGTTTTAATCAAGTCCTTTTCTACATGGTAATACCCAAGTTAAAGAGCAAATGAAAACTGGCCAAAGAGCTCAAGCTGTAACACTCAATCAGCCCCCCATCCCACCTCTGTACCTGCCTAATGTGACCTCTCCTAAGCAAAGGAATGTGATATCAAAGACCTCACTTCTTGTTTTAAAGCCTGCTGACCAGGGCCAACTCTGTGCAAGAGAAATTCACATTAAGGCAAATTAAACAGAAACACTGAGATAAAAACTCTGCTTGGGCAAAGTCTTCAAGTATTGAATGAGTTAAAGAAAAAATGGCCAGAACAGAGCAATTAAGAGCCTGAGTTTAATCAGTTTCAGTGGTTAACATGCATGTTTGCACAAACATATACTGAGCTACTAATGGTGAAGAGCACAACTATGTAATTAAGTGCAACTCTGCAGTTCAAATGCTATTTAGGCAATGGGCCTCACGTGTCAAAGGTGCTCGTGCAGCACACTGCAAGTTTAGGGTCCAAAGTAAACTGAGCTTTCATCTTCAAGGTTTCAACTGTAAACTCTCATCTGGTTTGTAACTGCTCAGTACTGATTTGAAACATTAAAACCACTTACCACCAGCCCTGCAGAGCCAACGTTTCCTTCCTTTGTTCATAATATGCCTACTGCTATTCCCCCTGCAACACTTTCCCTGGAAAGATGCCACTTTCAATGCTAATTCAAGGAAAAACTTAAACAGCCAATTCTCTTCTGCCTTTTTTCATTGGATTTGTAGTATTTTTCTCAGAGTGCAGTAATGGTGCCAAAACCCCAATAAAAACATTGTAGAAGCCTTTTACTTTAACAGTAGTTATGATGTTGAATTGCCTTGTCTTTAAAGAGAAGCCAGGAAGGCAACTCTGAAGCCTTACTCAAATCCGAATCATATGCAGACCAGCACTGCTGACTGATCACTGGTTAGGGCTAGAGGAAACACTGCTACAACCTTATTCTGCCGAACACAGGAGAAACAGAACCTCCTATTTCAATTACCCAGCCCAAGTAATCTACAACAACAGATGCAGGCGCTTCACCTTGGCTTCAGAAGGTGAAGCAGGAAGATGCTATATGCCAATGTACAGCTTCCACATGAGAGAGGGTTTTTAGCAGCCAATTTCCACTGCCACATGCAGAAGACAGAGCCTGTCCCTATTTAAATGCAGACAGAGTAGTCTGAAAGGGGGGTGAAGAATCTAACACAATTTCACCTGAGTTTCCCAACGCATGTTTCATTCATCAGCTTGCCTGTACTGCAGAAAGGCCTAATTCCACAGCGAGAGACCCTCAAGTGGCTCATTTCCATTCATTCCAAAGCCTAACAGGACTCTGCATGAGCAGGAAGGTCTGTGCAGGCTGGAAGAGTTGCAAATAAGGGCCCAGGAAGTAGAGACAGATTTAAACATAAAACACTCGGAACATCCCTATCTACACAGACCTACTGTTTTTTATCCCAGGCCTTCTAGTTTCTACAATCTGGGCAGGCACCACACTTTCACCACTGCTGTGCCTAAAGGTGCAATGTCATGCTTGGCACAAGCAAATCTAACACTGCTGCTCCCAAACAGGGTGTTTTCACCCACCCCGAGCCTATACTGACGTTACCTCCCCTGCCCTTGCAACACTGGTGTAGCTGCAGGATGAATTATCAGCTCAGCACTCCAAAGCTGCACAAGCATGATAGTAATGAAAGGCCCTTGGTAGACTATTTCAAATGGTTCTTTCAAACACAACTGTGTTTTCTACTCCTCTGAAAGAAGAATCCAACCCTCCCCTTTCTCCCCACCGCCTGATCTTTCCCAGTACTCTTCCAGTCTCTTCTGTCTGCAGTGGTCTCACAACGGAGTTAACATCTCTGCTATTCAAGTCAGAGGGCAAGTCAGAAGATCAAGACCCAGTCAGGAGCACCATTTGTCCACACTCCTCCAGCTCCACAGAGAAGCAAAAGCCAGAATAAAACTCCACCGAACTCCAGACACTTGTACTGAAGCAGGAAACCAGGATGCACTAGAACTTCCAAACCAGTATCTTATGCAGATAATAAGTTTGCTTCAAGACCTTCTCAAAGGCTGAGTAGCCTCCTAAGAGGTAGAAGAAACTACCTACAAAGACCCCAACAAGCCCTACTCTCTAGGTAAGCCTCTCTTATGGCAACAGAATGCTTGTGAAGAGCCCTTTTGTTCGGCTACATGCTTAAAGAAGCAAGAGCAAGCTGCCTTTCCAACCATCCATATCCAAATTGTCTATTAACTTGTCTGTGAAAGCCAAGGCCATTGAGGGCTAGGCAATTTGGAAGTATTTGGTCCTGAATAGGTGCAAGACTGTCAAACTCCTCTGGACACCAGACAGTGTCAGGAGCACCACCTCCTCACCTAGAAGTTCAGCCTCAGTTTTTACTGTGAATCACACAGGCTTACCATGAAGATTTGGGTTTGTTTATAAGAACACAAGGCAAACAGTTCTTGCACGCACATTCATGTACTTGCATTCTATTGAATCCTTGCTTATTTAATTTCCCAGGAAGCAGAAAGCCTTTCATTGCTCTAATTTGCAGGTGTGATCAGGGACTGACGTGCGCTTTCAAGTGTCATTTCAAGACAATACACTTTTGAGACAAAATGGAAAGCAGATTCATTTACCCACTACGAGTTATGAGTTTTGCAGCCTTCCAGTTTATCTTGCTCCAAGCCTCTACAAGCTTTATTTCAGCTTTCCTCTTCAGCTACTTACTCATGAGATTTAGATTCAAAGCCATTCCACCTAATAAAGGGAACCGAGTGACTGTTCAATCTGAAGCAAACGTTTTCTTCTAGAAAACTTGCATTGAGTAATTATTCCTGGAAGTAGCAGAATATTCTTCATTCCATCTGCTCCAAATCTATAAATATTGGGTAATGGAGAGCCCGGTTTGCATTTACATTAAAGTGATGTTCCTAGCAGACCCGTTATAAAACAGCCCTCGTGTCATTTAAATTCAAAGTCCCATCCAGAACCTGGGACTTATCTGCATTTCAATGCTACATTTGCTCTGACATTATGCATCTTCTTCTGGGAAAAGCAAATTCCTTGAAACAACAAGCCTCTCATTCTGCAGCTTTAAATCAGGCAAAAACACATGCACGTACAAACACAAGGTGAAAAGAGAAAGAGCTCATTAAATGCCCATCAGTCCCTACGCATCTCTACGTCACTGCTACAGGGGAATAAAGCACGTGTGTTACAATAACCACTCAGCTCCCAGGGACAGTTGCTGATCAGCCCAAAAATGCACACACACAGGCAATTTCACCCCATGGCACAGCAAGCTATGCATTTGCTATGTCTTTAGCCCAGCAAATTGGGAATATAAGCATAAAACCCCTTGAGATTTGCTGCTCCCCCCTCTCCCAAAATCTGCAAAGAACTAGGCTTATAAACCTTTTAGGTTCCTGCAAAGTCATTAGGGTGCTGAGGTCAAGCATTAGAAGGATAAGTGTGAAGACTGCCTGTAAAACTGCTTCACTCTGACAGTTTCAAGACACATCTTCAAGATCTCAAGACTGCTTGCCTGCTTCCTCACTGGGCTCTTCTGTAGTTTGTAGAGCTTTACCTACAGATCTGCACGTTGTAAAGCAGGAATTAAAACCACAAAGAGTGGATTTTCTAAGAATATTTAGCTCCATTTGCAGTACTATTTTTAGATTATTCATATGAATGCATGTTTAGAGACAAAAAGTTACTTAACTAAATATAGACTTTATATACATCAAGTCTGAACAGCAGTATTTTTATAAAGAATATGTGTATTCATGGAGTCTCATAGAACATAAAACAGATTAATTTAGAAAGACATTTAGCAAAAAAACCCCAACCTCCCACCAAATCTGTAAAATGTTTTCTAACACCAGTAGGGATTTGCTTTCCAGACACCAAAACCAGCCTCGCAAAATGCCCTCCCAAAGGTTCTGCAACCCACTTGAAATATTCTTACTAAGTTCCAATCCCAGGAGGTGCTGAGCATCCATCAACTTTAATGGGATATTTGCATGTTTCACACTCAGTCTAAATGTGAACTTCAGTTTTTGGATTCTAAAGCATCTACTTTAAGAAACCCTGACTGATCATTTTAAGATACAGACAACTTTAAACCCAAGTATACCTCTTCTTGCATAATTGGTATCCATATCCTTAAAATGCACCATCACAAAATCTGAAGACTTGAACAAGATACTCTCGAGTATGTCTTCACGTTTTGGCCCCAAACTGGACTCTGCTGTTTTCCGATGAGCAGCATCGAGCACTAAATCACACTGTTAGAGACAGAAAAAGAACACACTAACTTAATGCACAGTAAGCTCCTCTGTAACCTCATGTACTGGCAAAAAACAAACACTTAACAACAGTTTTTCTGTAAACCCAGACATGAATAGGCAAAATAATAATAAATATTAATATTTTAATCAAACATTAGGCTCTTTTAAAATAGGGACGAGTCGAGATGAACTTACCTTAGGACTGTAGGTTTTAAAAACTCCTTCATATATACCACCATTTTTCACCTGTACTTCACATTTGGATCCCTAGAATGCAAGAAAAACAGAAACAGAGCTTTCCACCAGCTTGACAAACGGCATTTGAGTGTTCCTCTCAAAGATGTATTTTCTATGTTTAGTACAATGTGTAAAACTACAGCTCAGTTTTTAGTCAAACCATCTATTCAACACTTGCCCATTTCTAAACATGCCACTGTGTTCTGCAGATGCAAACAGCTGGGTGTGCAGCACCATTTGTTCTGACAGGATCTAAAGATACTCACAGAAGCACATTTGGCGCTCATCAGACTCCTGACTAGTTAATGCACACAAACAGGGGGGTCTGTACGAAAGCAAAATCTGTGCCTCTGTGTGTGTACATGCCAGGATGAAAGCTTCTCCTGGCTCAAGCAGATGCAGGACAGTCTGCCTTAGTTAATTTTGGCATGCTGGGACTTCCCTTCAAATCTGGGGTTTCCATTCCTTGCACAGAGACTCACTTTATTTAGCCATAACCTCTATTAAGGCACAAAACCTCAAAATATGACCAGTGCACCTAAGAAACCTGCTGGAACTCTGCAAATTGTATTTGAACCTTTCCAAGCCACAAATACAGAACGGCTATTACTGTGCTTCTTTAAAGATCAACCTGGCAAAAGATACCCACTGTTAGATTTTAATATTCACTCCATTATATCACAATTAGTGGACTAGTTAACAATTCTATGTCTCTATGGCAACTGTTTCCCCCCCTTCTAAATAGGAAGACTTACAACAACTGATGTCAGTATGTGAACCATTCTCATGTTTGCATAGATGCCATCAAAAGAAATCTGAAAAACAGAAAAAGATATAGTCATGAATACAGGAGAAACACTTGTAACAACTCAAAAAGCAAAATACGGCAGCTTTTCATCAGTGTGTGCTAATCCCTAGCAATACTGGTCCCAAATCTTACTCAAGTCAATATACATAGAACTTAGGTCAAAGGAGATTTTGAGATGACTCTTACCCCTTTCTCTGATCAATTAAAGAGTTAACATTCTTCCAAACAAGATAAATAGCACAGAGTTTCCCTAATGTCACCCAATAAGGGAATTCTCCTGCTGGTTGAGTAGCTCATATGCACAGGCTCCTAAGTGAAAACCCTGCTAACAGCCCTCACTGGTTTAAGAGCCATCAATAGGATAAGGTACTTCAACTGCTGTAGAAGTAAAAAGAGGTGCTTTCAGGGCCTGCTGAAGTACATCCTTCCATCTAACTGACCTGGTCACATGCACTAACAGGAGCTGAAGTCATCAAACTGTGCAATACCAAAGAGCTGCAAACCCATCATGAAATTAGTCACAAGTAATTCACTGCAGAACCAGGATGTGTGGTCCTACACCAGGAGAGCTGACCAACTATCACCCAGGTTGCCAGATGATACACTCACACAGGCATACATGAAGTGGTCAGGATGTCTGCGTTCTGTGGCAACATCTGGTATCTGTCCTTGTCAAATTCCTGCTTGTAAAACAAGAGATGCTGAAACATGCAAGGACTCCACCACATTTTGAGCTTTTTAACCAGCAACATATCTTTTAAACTGTCAGCTGCTTAATCCACTTACTCCTCCTGCACCTTCCTGGTCTGAAAAGACATGTTTAAGGACACTCCTATGCTCAGCACTCGGTACGGAGGTGATGATTAGTGTTTGCATATGACTTTTTTCACCACCCTTCCTCAAAGCTTCTTTCTTTTTACTGAGGCGTCGTGATATATCCAATAAACATTTATGTAAGTAAACTCCAGTCCTTTCAAACCTTCCTACTTCTGCCCCATTCCCCGAAATTAGTCATCCTTGAAAACCAGGCCAGTAACATTAGCAAACATTTGATTAGTGCAGTTCAAAGATTCACATCTTCAGCTTCGATAAAACTATGTTCTACAAGTCAAGGCACACCTATACTTCAACAACATACAGCCTTGACAGTAACTACAGCTACACATTAGGTTACTGGTTACCTATTTTATAGTAAAGCTAAACAAAATTGTTATTTTTATTTGACTGAATGTTGTCTTACTGTCACCTATTTAAGGAAAAAGACAATGTTACAATCTTCAGATAGGAACTAATTCAAAAGCAGTGCCTTCAGTTCAATGTTACATTGCAATACATTGCTAATATATCGCTATATATTGCTATAACTGCAAGAAAATGCAGACAATTTATACTGGTGCAATGAAAAGTGGAAGTGAGCCTTCCCCCCTTCACCCTCCCAGGAGTTTTAAAAGAATGCAAGATGCTACATCCTTAGAAAATCATAAAGCAGTCCAAAATATTCATTATGGTATCCAAAGGAAAAATGGAGAGGATAACCCCGTATCTGCTATTCTTACACTGATACTTGGGTTCACTGTACGTTAATTGTTTCCTTATGTGTGTCTATATATATATATATATTCCTTATGATACCTAGAAGTGGTAGAATGAGGAAAATATATACTTACAGTAGGCTGAGGCGGTCCTTTGCCACTGCTGCGACCTCTGAAATTAAATACATACATGGGATATGGTTAAAAGAACTGCTGAAACCAGTAAATTTCTTAACAATTAAGAATGCAAAACCTCATCTTAATTTAATGTGGAGAAAGGGATCAGAGAAAAACAGAGCTCCCCTCCAGCAGAACCTGACAACTACAGGGCCCGCTGCATCTATCCTCCAAATTACTGACCTACAAGCAAGTAACACTGGTTAGTAGGCAAGAGGGTTACCTACAATGAATTAAAGCACAAATGAAGAAAATACTAACCCTGGGTCATTACAAAAACCTAAAAATATCATCTCTTAATCAGAATCATAGAATTATAGAATGGTTTGGGTTGGAAAGGGCCTTAAAGCTCATCCAGTTCCAACCCCCTACCACAGGCAAGGACACCTTCCCCTAGAGCTGGTTGCTCCAAGCCCCATCCAACCTGGCTGGCTGAATCCTATAACTAAAGCCAATTCCAAAACTTACTGGCACCAAGATCCACTTCCAGGCCCAACCCCTACACAGCCCAGGGTCCTCTCTTTAAGACCAGAGGCTCAGTACATTGTCAAGATCCATCTGATTAAGGGCCACCCAAACAGCAGAGCCCGGATGCACGCTGCAGAGAAGCCCTGACTGTAAGGCCCTACCTCCAGAGCTGGCTTGCAGCTACTACAACCCCAGTAAGGGAAGCTAATGGAGTCTATCCATCCCCTCAAAAACACTAACAGCTTTTAATAAAAATCAATGTGCAGCACTTGGGACACTTCAAAAGGCTTTTAAGTTAACCTATTTGCCCTTAATTCCTTGCAAACAGATGCAATTGTCCCCTCCACCTCAGACATCTGAGTCCCAACAGCACCCTTGCAGCCAAGCAAGTCCCCAAGAGCTACAACTCTTCAACCTCGTAGTATTTCTCATAGTGATTTAGATTTGTTATTGCAATGACTTCAGAAACGCACACCATAATGTGAGGCAAAATGAAGTCTTCGACAAAAAACAGACCCATCTTACAGATTAAGAACCATTTAATTAAAGCAAGTCACCAAAGAGTCATGGTCACATTTCATAACACCCAAACAACGCTGAAACCTAAATCCAACTGAATGTCAACTGCATTCAATGGCTTTTGTGAACACAATTCAGAATACAACCTTGCTCTCAAAACAACGTGCCCTTCTCAACAGGGCTCAGGGCTCAGTCAAAAAATCAAATGAACTTCTCCCATTGAACACAGACATCCCACTAAATCGTGCACAAATAAGTCCATCGGAGAACCATGAAAGGCTGTAAGGAGGTAAAAATGAAACCCCACTAAACCTTCACCTGACTTGCTTAAGAAAAGGAGCTTCTGAAACAGCACTATAGTCTCACAGAGCACCAGGCACCCGGTGACATTTGCTGATTGGCACTAACTGCAGATTTCGGGTGCCTAGCTGACATTTCAGGATACTTGCAGAGCACTCATCTCACAAAAGGGAAAAAACCCTAAAGCAAATAGCCTTTATTTAACTACCTATCAGCCTTAACTTCCCAACTTCAGGCTTGCTCTGGAGACAGGCAAGCCCCACCATTTATTACAGCTGCCATATCTCAAATGGCTGCCTATGGCACGGTGCTGCAGTGAGCCCTGCACCAGCCTGGAACATCATTTTCAGACAAATGATCTTCTTTCTGAGAGTCATTTCACCAGATGTGAAACGCCCAAATAAGAGAGAGGGGCAGCCCAGGTCTGATTTCTCCTTTTCTTACAAGCAAAAGTGCCAACAACACGGTCTTTGAAAGAACGGGCTTTAAGTCAAGCCATTTCACCAGCTCCCTCTGTTGCTCTCACAGATTTTGGAAGATGCTCCTACATCAGCTATAGAAATGGCCAAAAGTGAAAGAGTTCGGTGTCTTTGACATAAAAAGCCCTCCCATTTTTAGTGACCGGTATTCTTAGAACTTAAATAACTGGGTTGCTAGACTGGTCAGAAGGTTTGGAGTATTCCCTTTAAGCATCAACGTAAGTGTTCCGGATTTTCCATCTCCTACCCCATCTCCAAAATCACCGTTCCTACCCACATTTCTTTAAGAAACAATCAGATTGTGCTCATCCACGTTGGCAAAAGGTCTTAACCTCTACATCAGACCAAGAGTTAAGCCACTTGAAGAAATACTACACGCTGTTCTGGTCTCTTTACAGACTTGACCTCTTGTTTTCCAGCTACAAGTGTTAAGAACAAACCATTAAGAACAAAAGGAAAGGCATTCACTAAGATGAAAAGGAAAAGACATTCGCCAATCCTGCCAGTGCTATGTTCAATCAAAACCGTGTTTCTTCTGCTAAAATCAGGACCATCGACTTGAGGCTCGTATTCCTACAGGTGAAGACTCAAGTTCGAAGCACCCCTCGACACACCTCTGATGTATCATATGGGGAAAAAGTGGGACCTTTACAAGGTGGGAAGGAGATGGTCCTTGCCAGAAGTTGACCACCATTTAAAAGAGAGGTAACACTAAGAAACGGTGGGAGAAACCGGAAGGGTCAGCGGCAATTTGGTGCTGCCACCTAAAACCACATCTTGGAATACACCAAGTATGGTAAATAAAAACAAAACCCCAATGTTTTGTATTGCAGAAATGTGGTTAAAGGAGGTGGGAGGAGGCAGAGCAGCCTGGCAAATTCAACGTGTTAATCCTCTGCTTTGGGGCAGCAAAGCCCCAAGTAAGGAAGATGCTGCACCAAACAAAGCAACAACCAAGCAAGTAAACTTAGCAGCCAACTCAGTGCAGGCCAGCAGCTACACCTTTAGAGTGAAAGTCTCTGTCAGGACTTAATCCCAAATCCTGCACCATCAACATTCTTCCCCAGGAGCAACTTGCAATCCTTTTTCTATTTTTATGAGCATTTACTATCCTGCTCCTCAGCATCCCTCATGTTTACATGCCAAGCGGAGCATTTGTATAAGCAAAACAAGGTCACACATCTCTATTTTCCCAGTTAAGTGAAAACTAATGCAAGGTTCACAAATCTTCCCAGGATGGGAAAGGAAGTCTCGGGATTTCTCTCCAGCAGCAGCTTCACTTTGAGACTATGAAACAAGCACAACCACACTGCGATGTCTTGAGCAGAGGTGCAGCTACAAAGGCTTGAATTTAACAGCAGTGAAGAGATGTTTCTGGAGCACTGGTGGACATTACTATGGCTTTGGAAACAAACGTACAGGACACTTGAAAGGACTTTACAAATACAGAGAGCTGGCAAAGCTTTCTTCTAAGGGAGAAGGCAGAAATACAAGGGTTTAAGAGCAGCACTTGTCTGTACTAGTCAAACGAATCAAAGCAGCCAAATTAAGAAGTCCTGCAGCGTTGTTTTCTGTAGTTTCTCCCCAATACTGACATTAATAATGTCAACTCCTGTCTTCTTACAAGATGACAACTTCTGTAGCGTCTGAATATGTAAGTAACCTGACTCAGGTCTGACCCAGTGCACATCTGTAGCCTGCTGGTGGACTTAGTCATTGAAGATCCTTCTCCATATACATTGCCATGAACCAGTTGTTAAATTAAAACCTACTCCAAAGCACATCTATAATATCAGACTAAAGTGCATTAACGACAATAAAGAAAGACCTGCAGGTTACCCATTCATTTTGCTCAGCAGTTTAGCACTGCTGCATCAAAACCAACACACACACACAGAGATGTCAGAAAAAACTAGAAACCCTGAATGAACCGTGTTGATCAAACCTCCAGAACAGTCCTTTCCATGAGAGCAGAGTGCCTCGGCACGCCATATTCCCAATTACTTCTACCTGAGCAGAATGGACACTTCTTTTCTGCCCTTTCCTTAAGCCTTCAGTTAGGCTAGTGAAAAAGGATGTCAAGGGAAAAGGAACCTAAGAGTAGGCAAGAAGTGTTGAGGCTCAAAAGCAGCTACACAACATGGGATCATTTCAGTTTTAACTTTCTAATGGCCAGAGCCATTTCTAAAAGGACAGTAACTGAGACTACCCTTTAACAGACTTCCAAGTCCAGTTAGGCAAGAGAATTACCCAATAAAAAAGGAAAAAGACCTTCTGCCACAACGTGAACTACACACGTAACCATCCAAACCTGGCCTCTGAGGCGCTTTGCCTTCAAGACAAGGTAACAATGGGGAAAAACTGAGAACAAAAATGGATGCAGTGCTTGGAAGAATGCTGGGGCAGATGCACTTCCACCTCCTGTGCTTCTGGAAGGGCAAAATGGAACTAAACCCCAAAACGTAGGTACTAGATAACGTTCTGAGCAGCACAGCAGAGCAGGTCTGTGTATGAGGTCTACTTCTCCAATTGCAGCTCTATGTGCCATTGGCATCTCCCAACAGCCTCATTTCCCATCTGCCATATTGCACAGGCACTTGCTATTGCATGCAGTATTTCACTTAGGGCTTCTTTATAAAATGAGGTATTAATCCTTCTTGTTTTTCTTGAACACCTTTAAAGAGACCTTCATTGGTCATTTTACCCCTTTCTGTAAAAGAAATTGGTATCATGAAAACAAATACTGCAGTATCTTAGTTGTCGACACAAGATTTCATCTTTTCTAATAGGAAGTATGTGTACCCATCATTACAAAACCATGGAAGCAGATGCAGTGAGCAAAGCTGACCCTGCTCTCACTATCAGCCCTACAAGGCCCAGGTGCTTCACCCACCTCAGTCTTACAGTGCCAAACACATAGCAGAACATCAGGTCCAGGACAGTTCACTATCACTGTGTTTTCTACCCAAACCTGAGCCTTTAAAAGCAACTTAGCCATGAAACGTAACATTTTTTGCATCTCAAGACTAAAATGTTGGTGCTGCAGGGAAATTAACTGCTACAAAGCAGGCATGAAATTGAGATGCTTAAGTTTATATTCAATAATACAATGCTTCAATTTGAAGCTAAAAGGCAGGCCAGCTGAAAACCAACTGGATGTTTCAAGCAGAAAAACCACTTGGCTTTTCATTTCCATGGACACGTTTGCAGCATGAACCACCTTGGGATCTGCACTCCCCAACAGACCAGACTTTCCTTTAGGACAGCAACAGGAGCAGATCTCTGAAGGGGCTCCATGGGGCTCCAGCAGCCCAGGGGGCTGGGATTTTATAGACCCTTCATTCAGAAGTAAGTGGGAAAATTGATTAACAAACAGAGGGGAGCATGAACACCTCAGAGGGAACATGTCAGCTGCTGAGCAGCCCCACTGGAACTCCCCAAGGAGCTCTGGAGTGGAATTTATACAACAAAACTAGAAAGGCAACACTGGGAGGAGAAACCCAGTGGCTTTCACCTTTAAAACGCCAAAATTGAAGCCCACATCCTCTCCTGTGCAGGGCCAAGGGCTCACTATTGTACTGTACCTAAAAAGAAAGCTGTAGGTTTTGTTGCCCTTCAGGTTAACCTCTACAGTGCCACTGTGTGTTGGCAGGGATAACTGTTTAAGGAAGCACAGTAAAGATCACGTTCAGTGTAAACAACAATATGTAAAGATTAGTAAATCCCTGCAGTGAGCTGCTGGGGTGTTACTGGTATTATTTAAATGTATTTTGTCCTTTGCAACCCGACCAAAGCTTTCCTGCTCCCAGTTCCACAGACGGGCACCAACGTAAACCCCTATTTCCAATGATGTCCAACAACGGGAGCACCGTAAATTCTGTTTTATTGCCAGGGCACAAAACTGAGCAGAAGGATAAAAACCAAGTTAAAGAGCAAGATGAATAAAACTTGAGATGGAAGTGCTCGGAGTGCCTGTGACCTTCAGAACCGCTACCGTCCCGCTCTGATTGTTTGCCCTGACCCCCGCAGCACGGGGACTATTCAGAACGCTGGGAAGTTTATTCTTTCCCTTCCCTTTTCTCCCTTCAACGTGTGAATCCGCAGAGCCCGGAGCAGGAGCGGGATCTCCCTTCCCAAGGCGCTCTGAGGCAGCGGGGCCTCCGCAGCCTGTGCGGGCAGGGCGAGAGGCGAAGCGGTGTGGGGGGGACGACGGGGGACGGGGAGGGACACAGAACCCCCCCTCATAGCCCTCACCCCCCCACATGTGGGGAATAAAGCGAAGCCGTGCTTGGAGCCGCCATCCACCGGCGAGGCCAACGGGCGCTGCCGCGGCCTCCCTTCCCGCGAGAGTTTTATCGCGATTTAAATCAATCACATTTATACATCTATCGGGATCAATAAAAACGCGCCCCAGTGCGGGGATGGGGCTCGGCGCGGCCGGGACTCGCTGCTTCCTCCCCCCCCCCTCCCTCCCCGCACCGATCCGACCTCCTCCCCCCCCCCAACTCCCGGGGCCGGCCCCGCCGCCCCCCGCCCGCCGCCATCGCGGCCGGCCCCTTCCCGCCGCCGGCCCCCCGCACACGTGCGGCCGCCGGCTCCGGCGCCTCGCCCCGCCGCCCCCCGCTCCATCCACCACCACCACCACCACCCCCCTCCATCCCCGCCGCCGCCTCCTCCTCCTCCTCAGCAGGCGGGTCACGTTGGCCCGGGGGAAGCGGCGCCCCCCGCCGCAGGCCCCCGCCAGGCCGCGGGGGGCTTCACCCGCTAAGCCCGGCACGGAAAACGGAGGTCCCGCCGTGGCCTCCCAGCCCGTTCCCGGCCGCCTGAAGGGCAACCGGCCGCGGCCTGGCCTCGCGGCCTCGCCCCGGCGGCACTGCGGAACCGGCGGGCCGCTCGGCGGGCCTGCGTGCGCCCCGCCCGCCGCCATGCCGGCTCCCGCCCCGCCGGGCGGAGCCCCCCGCGCCGGACCGCGGCCCCCGCCGTGCAGCAGGCCCCGCTCCCGCCCCAATCCCCCCCCACCGCCGCCGCCCATGGAGGCCGGTGCGGGAGCGGCGGGGGGGGGCGTGAGGGGGGCGGCGGGGGAGGGGGGAGCAGCACCCGCGCCGGGCGCTCCGCAGCGGGGCCAAGGCCAAGGCCAGGGCCGGGGCCGGTCCCGGTCCCGCCGCCGCTGTCGCCGCGCACCCACCTGCCCATGTTCTGCCTCCCGCCGCCCGCGGCTGACGGGAGGCCGGGGCCGCCGCCGCCGCCGCCGGGGGGCTTGCGGTTGTTGCCGGCGGCCTGCGGCGCCGCCGCTTGCTTGAGGGACATGACGAGAGGGACGAGAGCCGGGGTGCGCGCCGGGGCTGGGCGAGGGCCGGTCCGCGGGACCTCGCTGCGCTGGCGGGGCCGGGGCGCCGCTGGCTCGGCCGGTTGCTCCCAAACAGTGCGAGCGGGGCGGAGGGAGCGGAGCGCGGCGCGGAAGGATCCGCGGAAAGAGGGGAAGGGGAGGGGGGGAAGCTGGGGAGGGGAGGCCGGAGCGGGCCGGCGGGTGAGGGTCGCGGCGAGGCCGAGGGTGGCAGCGGTCTCCCCCGCCGCCTCTCGGGTACCTCCGCGGTGCGGGCCGGGGGGGGGCCGAGGCGGCTGCGGCTGAGCGGGCGGCGGCAGCCGCGGACTCTTTACGGGAAGTCGGAGGGCGCCGCGGCGGTGCTGCGGCGGGTGAAGGGGCGGAGGCGGGAGGCGGGGAGGGGAGGGCAGCGGAGCGGAGGGGGACACGTGAGGCGGCGGCGCGGGACGGCGGCAGCTCCCGCTGCAGCCCCGCCGAGGGGCCGGGCCGGGCCGTGAGGCCTCCCGGGAGCCGCCCCGCAGCACCGAGCCCGGTGTCGTTCCCCGCCACCCCCCCGGGCTCACACCCCGCAGCGGGGAACGTCCCCTCGCACCCGGCGGTGCTGCGGCCCCCGGGCCTGGCGCTGCCTCCCCTCCCGCCCGAGCCGGAGCGCGGCGGGCTGTGAGGGCGAGCCCGACATGGAGACACCGAGCTGAGGGGAAAAATGGCCGAGGGTGCGAGAGGCGCCGTGGAGCGCCCCGGTCCCCCCCGCGGCCGGTAGCCAAGCTGCAGGCCGGCTCCTGCCGGCAGCCACAGAGCCCGACTGCGGCCGCTGAGCGCTTGAAGCCATCGCGCTCGGGGCCGGCTGAGGGAAGGCAAGATGGGGCAGAGGGCTAGCGCATCCCCCTGCTGACAGCCCGCCTGTACCTGTGGGGTGTTTTCCCCCCTCCTAAATCGCTGCAACCCAAAGGAATTATAAAATTAACACTGAATGTTTGAGCCCTGCTCTCGCATCGCTCCGTGTTGGACCCAGACACCAGAGAATCAGGTTGGAAAAGCCCTGTCAGATCAAGTCCAACCCTTACCTCAGCACTGCCCAGCACTAACCCATGGCACTGAGGGCCCCGTCTCCACGCTGTGTGAACGCTTACAGGGACGGTGACTGCAGCCCTGACCCGGGCAGCCTGTTCCAATGCCTGAGCACCTTCTGGGGCAGGAATTGTTCCTCAGCTCCATCTAAACCTGCCCTGGTGCAGCTTGAGGCCGGTTCCTCTTGTCCCATCCCTTGTTCCTTGGGAGCAGAGCCCAGCCCTTCCTGGCTCCATCCTCCTGTCAGGCACTTGTAGGGAGCTATCAGGTCCCCCCTGAGCCTTCTCTTCTCCAGACCGACCCCACCAGGTCCCTCAGCCGTTCCCCATCACACTGCTGCTCCAGGCTTCCTGCAGACATCCAAGCTCCAGCAGCTATCCAGCCCTGCCGCGTCCGCGGTACCCACTTCACGAAGTGGGTTTCACCAGCTCAGTCAATACACAAAAATAAAGCCTGGTCTCTCCTATTAAAAACCCCCACATTTATGTACATACAGGATTAGTAAAAGCAGATGTAACTTGAAAACCAAGAGCTAAATTGATTTATAGCCATGGTTACTCCAAATGCTCAGAGTTTCATCTATTCATAGAAATGCTCTAGAAATCCCACAGGATTCAAACGGAATAAAAAGGAGCGGCATTATTTATACACCTTGCTTGTAAAGCAACAGCTTTCCGTGCGGTCGGGATTGCTGTGGGTGGCAACGCACAATGGTGAAAAGATAACGTATTTAACAGCTTGCTTAAATGAGCAGGGTTTGCACCCTACACTTCGACTCAAACTGTTCTGCTTCACCTCACGGGCCCCAGTTGTGGTTAACATATCCAGAGCCAGAGGACAGCTATAGCCCAAATGGTTAACACATCCAGAGCCAGAGGTGTTAAGGACACTGCCTTTTCCCAATCACTTCAGTGAACTCGCTTTGCTATTCCACAGCTACGGAGCAGAGAGAAGAGGGTATCAAGGACTTCTGCTGTCCGAGGGATTCTGAAGGAGACACTACCACCTGCAGAGCTGAAGACAACTCACGCTAGCACCGGCATGGATTTTAGCATCATTTACTGTAAAAGCAGAAGTCTGCTTCATTGCAGATGATGGGATAAGTGACATTACCTAAGAGAAGCCAAAAAGACCTTTTATATGTATATAAGTGTATATATATACACACAGGCAATATATACCTAAGAAAAGCCAAAACAACCCCCTTATATACCTATATATACACACACAGAGACAATATATACCTAAGAAAAGCCAAAACAAACCCTTTATGTACATATATATACACACAGAGACAATATATACCTAAGAAAAGCCAAAACAAACCATTTATGTACATATATGTACACACAGAGTCAATATATACCTAAGAAAAGCCAAAAAAAAGACCCTTTTTATACAGACAAACAACAAACACGGAGGTAGTACACAAACACACACGCACACACACACATATATATATATATATAAAATGCACTAGCATAAAAAATAACCAAACTCCTTAGCGTGCTGTTCAGAAGGTTTCTATATTACTTTGTTGGTCTGCTAGCCCTCAAGCAGAGGGCCTCCAAGTGCTACCACATCAGAAGTACAGCAGGAAAGGAACTTGAAGAGCCAAAACATGCCTTGAAACTGAGATTTCTTACTCAACAAGCGCGCTTCATTGGTGGGGCTTGCATTTTAAACCCAAGTGACCACGAAAAAGCACAAGGAAGACTGATAAAAGACCGAGGGCAACGTATCCAGCTCACTTCATGGTTTGTTTTTCTTAAAAGGCCATTACTTCAATGCTTTTTCAGCTCAGAATGTTCACGGTGCACAGCCATTAGTCACTCTTTATGCGGCTAAAGGTTAAGAACTATTAAAGAGCCTGCAGCATTTTGAAGCGACAGCCACGCTGCAGGGTCCTGCTGGCAAAGACAGAGGAATGAGTGCCATGGGCAGAGGTGGCTTCTAAGGCAGGATGTGAACGCAGTAAACTACGTTTTGGGGTGATATTACACGCTTGGAAAGCAGCGGATGAATAAGACTGGTGTTCACGTCTGCAGTAATGACTCAAGCGCAGTTGCCGTTTGACTTGTTTTCTCCTTCAATGTATTCTTTGTTTTGTTAAGCTCTGTTTGGCTCCCATCGCACCCTCCCTGCTCTGTTTGTCCAGCATCTTCGTCAAAAACACATTAAAAGTACATAGAGAAGTGACCAAATGAAAGCAGCTCCGGCAGTGGTGACCAACGGGGAACCTGCAGGTTGGCTTCCAGACGGATTCCTCTGTGCCCACCAGCAGGCACTGCTCCTCACCTTTGTGTTCTGAGCACACTTCTGCAGTGGACTACCCACATTTCCAATGTAATGGGATTACACTGCGGTTAGAGCACGTAATTCCTTTTGCTTCTACCTGTATACACTCTGCTTTGATAGCCCATCGTTCCCAGTATTCCATATTTACTATTTTATGGCTTGGCTTTCTCAATTCCTCACTTTTTTCCTGCTGTTCCCTACCATTATATCTACTAATTTGGTTGCAAATTAGGTGGTGACAAAGAACAGCCAATGCAGTGCTCTAGCTGTAGCACTCAGAGCTATTCAGGATTCCAAGTGGCCTGCTCCATGGTGAAGAAAGAAAAGCAACAGAATCACATCCTGGTGTGCTCTTTCTGTCCATGTTCCAGGTTAGAGCTGCTCTTTTCCCCCAAGACATCTCTTTGCATTCAGATCTGTGACTCTATGTGCAGGCTCTATTTGCATGGGAAGATGGATGAGCCTGATAATACCATTACTTACCAGGAAGTGCTGCATGATGCAATGTTTCCTTGATCTAACCTGCTGTTAGGTGCGTGCTCTCTTCCTGGAGCTACCCAGCGTGATCCTCAACAGCGTTCAACAAGATAAAGCACGCATGTCCCCACAGAGGGACAACTGACTCAGGCACGCAGCATCTATTTTAACCAAATCAGCTGTTACAGAAGCCCTGAGCATGTGTTTTCCCTTCCCTTAAGGCTTTCGTTGTTCAGCCCCATTATCCTTAACCCTCTTCCCATAGACTAAAGCTCTGTGAACAGTGCTACGGGCACCAGGATCTCCAAACTCTTGGAGGGACATTAGGAAGACAAATGGGGTACTCTAACACACAAGAAACACTTCCCAGGGAGGGATGATATTAGCTCATCAGGAAAGCTGCCTTCAGTTCTAACTGGTGAACACACTACTGGGCAAACCAGGAACAGGTACATACACCACAACAAACCAAACCAAAGCCCAAGCTCCAAACCGACTAGATGGGACAATTGTTGTCTTCCCTTCCCTTCCCTTCCCTTCCCTTCCCTTCCCTTCCCTTCCCTTCCCACCCTGTGCTCTGTGTGCTGTCTCCTCATTGTGGGCAGCCCCTTGAATTCACAGCTCACTTCCAAACAGGCACCAGCTCCCATCAGATCCAGTTTGTGATCCACAACTTGCGCTTTTAGAGCTATTCCACCCCAGTTCCTCTCAGCCCACCAGCATCCCCCTCCAGCTCAGCTCAGACTGGGCATGGATGATGGATGTGCCTGCAGAGCCAACTGCTTCCGCTGCAACCAGGAGGAGGCGAAGGGAAACGCCAACATCCACAGAGCTCAGAGGAGAGCAGCAAAAGCGTCAGGGCTTGTTTTACCTATAACCAACCTAGCCACGAACCTTGCTCTCAATCCCCACTGGCCTCAGCCACTAAACAAGGGCATTTCCTTCCTCACACAGCAAAGCTCCAAGGCCGGTACAAGGATGCTGTAGCTCCACAGCAAGTGCTTGGGGACGGAGCTGGAACAGAAGACAGCACCTCTGCCCAGCAAGCTGCCAGGCAATCCAGCCAAGCACTTTATGCTTTTAGATCACACATTTCCAGAGCAGGAAGGGGGGAGCCCGGCCCTCAGCAGCAGCAGCAGCAGCAGCAGCAGCACTGCACAAAGCAGTCGTTATGCCAAGATTTAGCTCTTAAATCCCTCAAGATCTGGTGCTCACAGCGCATAAACAACCTCTGCCTCACGGAGCGGTACCTCCACGCTTCCCAGGCAGCCACACAGACCCACCAATACCCATCCTCTCCCCATCCCTTCGCTGAGGCAGGCGTGCCAACAAGGAAGCCAGTTGCCATGGCATCTTTTCCCCCTACAGACAGATGTCCATTAAAAACCAAGTCAGCCTCAGGTCTGCTGCACAGAGCAGCTTTCGGGTATTATTACCAGCCCACAAGGAATTTCCAGCGTGCCCCTTCACCCTGGGTGTTTCAATGCACTCCAGTAT